AGCATGTGTGTGAGCGTTATCGTGAGGGGGGCGATATCGCGTGTGTTCGGGACACCACCACGACCTCGTTCTGTCTTCATATCGTATGTCGAGCTTTCCCCACATTGATCGTGCGCCACAGGCTAACCCCCACCCCCCGGTTTCTCGGTCCCGTTTGACGTCCCCCCCTAGGTGCGGCACGACATCTCGTGGTTCGACAAGGAATCCTCCGCAGTTGGCATCCTCACCTCTCGTCTTGAGTCGGAAGCTTCCATGGTGAGTGTTGTTGTCGTTATTGTCTCTAATCCTTACCTTCTAATATCCGTATTGGTCCAACTGCCTCGGGCGGCTTCCGTGAGCAAGCGAGAAGTATGGTGGTAGAAAACCCGGGGTTGGTATATTGCTTGTATCCTGGTTATTTTTGCCTCCCACACGATAACCAGCACCAACCCTTTTTCCCGTGGTACGCCGTGCTCGTACGGGACGAACGGTTGGCGGCCTGTTAGCTTGCAGATTTGCGAAAAATCTTTTGCTTTTTTTTGGGAAGACAGTGCTGCTTGCACTCTCCTCGAGTAAACAATCGAAGGCAAACAGCACAGGAGGGAGGGGTGGGGAGAGGAACCGTTCTGTGTGAGTGACCACCACGGATTGGAGCTCTCGTCCATCAGAAAAGCTGTGTGTGTGCGCTGATGCAAAGTAATTGATGAGCATATAAAAGCCTACCGTAAATATTCGAGAGATGGCACCCCCGTGTCAGCATTTGTTTTGTGGCGTATTTCTCCACAATCAATGCCGAAAAGGGTACTGTAGTTTTGGAAACATGTCGTCGAGGGCTTTCCTGAGAGGTACCGGTTGATGTTCGCACCCTCCTACTTGTGGAGAAGTGCGCCGCAGATAAGCGCTACTAGTGCACGGTGGTGCCATCTCTCCGACTCTCGAGTTACTTCAGAGGTACGATCCTCGCCCGAGACACACATTACATGTGTTTCTCATGGCAAACCCGGGGATGCTTCACGGTGTGTCCCCTACCCAGGTGCGGAGATCGACCGGGAGCAACGTTGCCCACTCGACCCAGCTGATCATGACCCTGACCATCGGTACCGTCATCGGTCTTGTCTTCGCCTGGCAGATCGGTAAGAGATAGTAAGAGGTACTTCGCAATGGGATGGAGGTCAGGGCTGAGATGAGAGCTATTATATTAATAGCAGCGGAGAGCCCGGGTCCTGTCGAAGCGGTGTTGTTGGCCTCGTTGTTGTTTTGGTGGTCCCGCCAGTCGATGAACGGAACGAGAAACGAACAAGAATTATTCCCGATACAGTGTGTACCTTTGCAGGTACTATCCAACTAAACTAAGCGCGATCTGCGTTTTTTTTAGTGTGATCGATGTACCTGGTATGTGTGAATATCTGGGCTATAATGGCCATCGTGGGCCAGTCCCTGCCGAGCACTCTGTTTCATTTGTCGGAGATTTCATCCGACCCCATGCATGTCATGCTGGCCTCGTCCTACTCCCGCAGGACTGCTCGCCATGGCCATGATCCCCTTGATCGCCGCCGCGGGAGTTGTGCAGATGGCGATGCTTACCGGAGGCTACGGTGACAATGACGTGGGTGTTTTATCTTGTGCTTGGTATCAACCCGACCAAACCAACCTCTATGCTTCGGCAGTCTTTTCGTCTTTGTCGTCCCCAAAGCCAAAAATACATCCACACGAGTATCTGAATACAATTGATTGCGTTTATTGAACACCGTTGTGTTTGGTTTATGGTGCACCGTTGTGTTTGGTTTATGGTGCGCCGCATGGCAAGTGCGCGGCCGACCAGGGCTGTGTTCGATCGGCCGGTTCCTCAAGGACAGGATGTTCGGTTGACTTTGATCCACGACTCACATGTGTTCGGACTCCAGGCTAGCTCAAACACACCGTTTTGCTGCTCTGCCGCATGCCCCGCGCGTCGTCCTGATTGGCCGACGAAACGGTGTGGCCAGTAGAGGACCGTATTGACGGAGGTGAAAACAATCGCTTTTTTGTTGTTTTGTTGTTGACAGGGTCTTGACGGTGGCGGAGGTGCCGCGGGTCTGCTGAGCTCCTCCCTTCAGGGGATGACCACGGTGACTGCCTTCAACTTGCAGGAGAAGCTCGCACAGGACTACAAGCAGGCGTCCGAGGTATGCATCTATCTAAAATCACATCTGTCATCTGACGAGAGCTGGGAACTGTTGGCTCACTATTTTCTGTTGCTATGCATACGATAGAGAGGGGCTCTTCTGTGTGACCACGGGTTGGAGTAAACAGCACTAATGCTGTGAGCGCTGATTTGAAGTGAAGACAAAAAAAAAAAAATGGTTTGCATCGAAGAAGCGACCACCATCTGTGTGTGTGCTCCTTCCCGTCTATTCTGGTGCCAGTCGACACCCCTCTTCCTCTAGTATGTGTGTGACGCATCAGCCGGGGTCACATAGATTCCCACGGGACGTTTTTTGTTTGTTTTTTGTTTGTTTTTTTGTTTTTAGCCCTACCTTTTCTGAGCAGAGACCGGAACAATTTCCAATGTGAAGACAGCAACACCAACAACAACATCCGTTTTCTCCAGCGATACTGCTGTGCGTGTTACGTGTTTGTGTTTTCGCCTTATCTTCCATGTTGCTTGAACGCCCCACTTTACCTCCTGTGAAACTCCTTTGCGCGTACGTGCTTTGTTTTTTCCCGCCGCCCCGCCCCGCCCCGCCCCAGAGTTCCCTCGACGCCCGCAAACGGCGCGGCCTGATCGCCGGAGCGGCTTTCGGCTACAGCCAGGCCATCATCTTCTGGGTGTTCGCGCTTCTCTTCTACGTGGGAGCAGTGCTCGTCGATGACGGTACGATCGAGTACAAGAACTTCTTCACGGCCATGTTCGCGGTTATCTTCGGAGCCTTCGGGGTTGGACAGGTGAGCGGTGCCACGGTACAATACTGCTGGCGGGATACTGCCGGGAGGGAGTACTTCACGTTGGTAGTGTGGGGGGACACTATCCTTCGGATAAATAGTTTTGTGGAGAGGAAGCAGCCTGAGCGTGTTTAGCGGTGTGCGAAACAATCGGTATCTTTTCTTGGTGCTGAGAGGTGAAGAAAGACAGCTACGAAAACTACAGGCAGACAGGTTCTGGAAGAGGCAGAGACAGAAGAGAGCGGGAGAAGAGACACACAGAGAGAGACAAAGAGCACAGGGGACGGCGAGATGTTCCACGCCGATAGAGATGTTCCCGCCTTCGAAACCCAGGGCCCTGTCCTCTGACGTCCCCCCCCCCCCCTCTTCTCTTTGTCTCTCTGGTGTTTCAGATCAGCTCTGACGCGAAAGATGCCGGGGAAGGAGAACAGGCGGCGGCAAAGATCTTCCGCCTCACGGACGAGCCCCTGAACATCGACCCCTTGTCCGAGGAGGGAGCCAGGCCCGCGACGACCAACGGCGCCGTGGAGTTTAAGAACATCTTCTTCGCCTACCCTTCCCGCCCTAACATGCAGGTTCGTGGTGATGGAGGTGGTAGTGTTGGTTGGTTGGTATTGTTGTTGGTGCTGCTGGTGCTGCTGCGGGTACTGCAGCTGGCGCCGATTGTTCTGTAGCTTGGTCGTTGGTGTTGTTGCTACTGCTGCTACTGCTGTACACGGTGTCCATGTTGGACAATTTCTTCTTGCCACATGCTGAATGTGCTTAACAAACAACGCCGAGGTTTGCACTTGAAACCAAGGCGAGTCCCCTACGTTACCCCCCGTGTGCCGCCGATATATTCCGCGTGCCCCCGGCTGTTTCTCCCTGGCTAACCGTCTAAATCCGCTCACTTTCGTGATCGGGCAAATCAACGAAAAATGACACGTTGCGATGGTTCAAGCCTCGAGCACCAACACAATCTTGCTCGGAGTACGTTAAGGAGATGTCAAGACACCGCCGCATCGATGAACAGTCCCGACAGCCCACTTACTCACCAGTCTCCTCGTAAATTCCATGGGTCTCCTAACTAACCCTATTAACCTTAACCTTAACTTTAACCCAAACCCTAACCCTAATCCTAACCCTAATCCTAATCCTAACCCTAGATCTACGGATCGGACAAGTACCCCCAAGGCTTCTGCTTGGACGTCGCGGCGGGAGAGACGGTGGCGCTCGTGGGGCCCTCCGGAGGGGGAAAGTCCACCTGCATGGGGCTGCTGCTGAGGTTCTACGAGGCATCTAAGGGGAGCGTGACGATCGACGGCCGCGACATCAAGGAGGTCAACGTCAAGTGGCTCCGCTCGCAGGTGTGCATGCACATGAGTATTTTGTGTTGTTTGTTTTGGTTGTGTTTTGGTTGTAGCAGTCTTTTGTGCTTCTCGCTCGGCGTAGTGTTGTTGTTGTTGTTGTTCCTGCTGTGGGTACACTTGTGGTTGATGATGGCGGTGTTGTTGTACCTGCTTACCTGGTGTAGAGCTGGCTTATCGCACCCAAAGACCACGCACGTTTGAGTTACACCAACTCCTCGGCTGCGCCTACGCTCTTTTCGTCTGTACCGATCCATGACCTCTTCCTTTCGTTTCTCTGCTGGGCTCTTTCCCCTTCCTCCTCATCCTCCTGCTGCCCAGATCGGCTACGTGGGTCAGGAACCGGTACTGTTCCAGGGAACGATCCGCGAAAACATCGCCAAGGGGGACCCCGGCGCAAGCGATGACAGAATCCAGGAGGCTGCCAAGGCCGCCAACGCCCACGACTTCATCATGGACTTCCAGGTTCGTTACTGTCCACCTGCGGCAGGTACCACGGCTAGTTGAAGCGCGATGTTACAATGTTACAACCATTTGTTTGTGCGTCGCTTTTCTTTTTGATTAGATTTCACCTGGCAATCTTGTTGTCGGATTGAGGTAGACTTCTGGTACGGGCAGCTGATCGCAAAATGCGACTCAGCGTAGATCCCGTCCGCGTTAGTTACGCCAGTGGTGCACGGGTGTCATTTGTCCCTTCACTAATGTCTCCCTTTACCACTTACCCCTTGGCCTTTGTTGTGTCGTTTTGCTCGGCATGCTGGGTCCTGCATGCACACAATCGGCAATTCCCGGGTGTGCGTGCCTCCGTACCGGTTGGTCGTCTGGTGATGTTACGGTGCCCCGCAGGAGGGCTACGATGCTGACGTGGGCGAGAAGAGCGCTCTCTTGTCCGGGGGCCAGAAGCAGGTAACATCAAAACACCTCGAGTATCGCAGGTTACCTAAGATGTCACGCACCTGGATCGATTTCCAAGGAAAGTAAAATATAAAACACGGTGCGTCGAAAGATTACCAATCATGTCAACAGAAGTACTGTAGATCGTGTGGTCATATGCTGCGATGTGGGAAAATTGGACGGAGTTTCCTACGGACACTCTAGCACGTACATATTCGCTTCACACGAAGCGTACGAAGTTCCGACTTAGTTTGCCCTTATGCTTACGCAAGGTACCTGGTTTTGAAGTTTTTGCTTGCGTCATGACGGTTTCAAGTTTTTTTCCTGGAGTACATTGTACCGTATTGTATGTTCAAGTAGCTGACGGCGGAACCCTCCTCTCCCTCTTTGCCTGTTCGCGTCGTCCCTCTTTCACCCAGCGAATCGCCATCGCCCGGGCCATCCTCAACAACCCTCCGATCCTTCTCCTCGACGAGGCTACCTCGGCCCTCGACAACGAGAGCGAGAAAGTGGTAAGCTTGAGTCAGTGAAATCACTCTGAGAGTGACAGACGTGGTCAATCAGTCAATGAGAGAGCGAGTTTTGAGTCTGGTCATTCAGTCAGTAAGAGACAGAGAGAGAGAGAGAGAGAGGGAGAGACAGAGAGAGAGAGAACTTGGTGAGTCGGTCAGTGAGGGTGAGTGTGGTGAGTCGGTCATTCAGTGCAAGAGCAAGGAAAGTGGTATCCTATGGTTGAAGGAAGCACACCTTCCTTGCCAGCGTCAACTAGTCAACAAAACAAAACCGGAGTTGGCGCCATCACCAGCACTACAAAATGAAACAGCGTAAGTTGTCGTGTTCTTCCACCACCACCCATCAATCATCATTCCACCTGCTAATTGTCCGAGTTCTGTTTCCGCCGTCTTGGGAACGTCGATCTTTTTTCTGACTTGCACCCAGGTGCAAGAGGCCCTTGACCAGCTGCAGGCGAAGCAGAAGCGGACGACCCTTACCGTGGCTCACCGCCTGACCACGATCCGCAACTCCGACAAGATCGCCGTGCTCAACGGCGGGGGCGTGCAGGAGCTCGGCACACACGACGAGCTGCTGGCCCTCAAGGGCTTGTACTCCACGTAAGTTGGTGTTTCACACCAAGAGCTTGTTGCTGCTGCTGCAGCCGTTGTCGGTTTCGTGGACGTGTTTTATGCTACACTCATTGGCTCTGGATTTTTTTCATGCTACCGTAACACCTCTTTCTGTAGCCCTTTTGTTGCTCTGAATACCATAAAAAGTATTTCACTTATCATCCCCTCTTCTCCCGTCTCCCAACATGGTAAAATTCTTGCTTCCTTTTTTGTTGCTCGGAACACCGTATGGTTCACTCATCATCCCATTTACAGCCCTTCTCCCGTCTCCCAACGTGGTACAATTCTTGCTTCGTTTTTTGTTGGGCGGAAATACCGCATGGTTCACTCATCGTCCCATTTTCGACTCCTTCCCCATCTCCGAACGTGGTACAATTCTTTCTTCCGTTTGCTTCTCGGAATATCTTATGGTTCACTCATCGTCCCGTTTTCTCCGCCGTCTTCCGTCTCCCAACAACGCCGTCTTGTTTGGAAACCCCCAGGCTGTGGAACCAGCAGACGAGCAAGCTCACGGGCGAGTAACAGAGCGACGGCTTCGGAATCATCTCTCGCCTTCTAACGCCTCTCTTGGGGTGTTGTCATTATGCTGATTTTCCAATTTTGTAGGCTTTTTTCTTGTTGTTTGCAGAAAACCGTCGCCTCCCACGATCGCAAAATTGAAAACGGGTAGGGCGAGGGTTTGGTCAACCGGATAGAGAAAGCCAAGCCTATCCTTATCAGCTTCACGGACTTGCCTATCAGTGATCAATTTCACATGGGCCCAACCTGCTAAGTTCTTGCTCTCGTGGATTTTTTTCTGCTCTCTGGGGGGGCTTGACCCTTATGATTGTTTTGTTCAAGACTGCATGCAGTCCCATGTGCAGAGAGGGCTCGTTTTCGCCGTACACAATGTTTGGAAGATGGGATAGCTGGAATCGGTTGTTTGTTTTCCTAAGACAGGTGCGATCGGTACTTTCGTGAAACTCTAGAACAGGCGCCGGTCTCCTGACCCATCGACACAAGGCGTTGCAAGGTGATGGGGTGCGTTTTCAGCGCAGTACGAACGGGTGGGTGTGTTTGCTCTCCTGGCCATATATCTATCCGAAACGGCTGGTTTGCCGGGAGCCATTGCCGGAATGGGCGTTTTCGGTGCCACTTACTTTTGTTTCCGTTGCGTTTGGGTGTGTGTGTGTGTTCTTTTGTCTTTTACGCAACTTCGGGCTCCGTTTGGTTTGCTTCCACCAGAAAACTCCGAGCTCAATCTAGCCATTCCACGAAGAATGTCCTCAAGGGGCTTCCTGAAGGGGTAATTATGTCTGCAATGGAGATGAGCTGCTTCCAGCGTAGCCTAATGAAAATCGGGGTTCAACGAGATTTTCCTCTTTTTTGTTTTTAGGGTGCGATGGGCGACGGGTGCGAAAGTCATTTCTTTGTGTCGATGCACCGAGGACACCGTTCTTAAGGCAGTGCATAAGCGAGACTGGCAAATATTTCCTGCCACGTACGATGGCTTTTCGGCATTTGTTGTTGACTGCTTTTATTTCTTTCCTCTCTGATTGGAGAAAGGGCGCCAGGCTTGTTTGTATCTCGCGGAATTGGCGCCGCGTCGACGGTCGTATGTGTGTGTCCCTGTAGTTCGTTGGAGTTGCTCGTCACTACACGTGGACTACTATTACGTGTTTTGCGGCAACACAGGCAGGCATGGCAAGATATAGTTGTACCATACCAACTTTCACTACGTAGGGTGCTGCGCTTGACTGTTTCTTGCACACACAGGAAACGCGCTTGGAGTGATGAGCGGGAGGCGCTTTTGGACTTGTTTCGCTTTCAATCACGCTGGAGTTTTGTTTCTTGTTTCTACACTTTGGCGTGTGCCTAGGGAGGGTGTATCTTTGAAAACGCATGCCGTAGTGGTCAGAATATGGACCTCGCATTCTTAAAATGCTACATTTATTCATGTAAACGCATGCTGTAGTCGTTAGACCGTTCGCCTCGTATTCTTACAATGCCGAGGCGTATGCGATATGCCGGGGATTTGGGTGATTTTGTACCAGTAGTTTCCCCCCCATAGCCGATCAGATTCACGCTGTGTGGTTGGGTTGTAGAAAGGCGGTGGTACGAGACATTATCGAACTCCGTTCCAGGCTTGCTTGTAGAAGGTGGCGTTGTCGAAAAATGTATGCTGCTGTAGGTACACGAGCCATGTATGTCTGTTTGGAAGAGAATACACACGAGACTTCTCCGTACAACTTTCTTTCACACGGGAGCAAACACTGCGGATGTTGCTGTCTCAAGCCTGTTGTGTTGCAGTGCAGACAGCAGGAGAGAGCGAGCCCGCCTAGCATCATCGATGAAGGCAGGAAATCGTTTGTGCATCGCGCTTCGATCGGAGTATGTATGCGTGCATGTGTTTTGAGGCTCGATGTATCTAACACTGACACTGGAGCGACACACCCTACCTGTACGTCTTTTGTTCTTGCACTAAATAAACTTGTTATGAATGTCTTCCTTTGGTTGGGCGAGCGTCGTTCTCTTGCTCAAAACGCCACTGCAGCTTTAACCTCGCTCGACTTAAGTCCGACCTTGTCTTGTCGCCCTGGGGGCGCGCCAACGTCCACACACCCCAGACCCAGAACTGCAAGTATCACAGGAAGGGAACCAAGGGCATATTTCCACCGTAAATCACACTCACCGCCCAGTTTCCGTGGCACCTCTTCGAGAGTGGTCCTCGATGTAGTGCATTACCCCGCCGCTTCCCTGCCTCCATCTTGATCATTATTGCTGTACACTGTACGCAAATCCTTAATCCTAGATACTACCTCCTTCCGAAGTTCGCGATACATATAGTGGTGGGGGCGGGGGTCCTTGTGCGCTTATGCATAGGATCAACATGTTCACAATTGTCAAATAGCGAGCCTTGCGTTGATGCTTTCTTTTCGTGTGCCTCACTGGTTCGAAAGGGTGGCGGAGGTATCACGCGTCAGGGCGAGAAGCGCTGCCTGCGAAAATTCGGGTGGACCACGTGCCGTCCAGCACACAATTAACATATTGATTCGATGCCGACCCTTTTCGAAACCAGTCTTGTCAAAACATCGTCGATGGGTGGCTATCTTCTATCTTGCGGGAAACGGGAAGTCCCAACTGAGACACAGGGGTGGTGGATGGATGGCCATCCCGTCTACACCCACCCCACAAGCCCTCATACCCATCAAACCGCCTGGACCGCCTTTTCGCCAGAAATTAAGTTAATGAGGAAAAAATAATTCAGTTTTTGAGGACATAGAACAGGGAGGGGGTACGCAGACTCTATTCCCTAACCCTAAACCCAACTGTTTCCCCCTTTGCATGCTTTATCCGACATGAAAAACCCTTCGAAGGCTACTGGGCACACCGCCTGCGCTTTGCAACGAATAGGAGATGTCGGTTGCTTGGCAAGCAACACCAGGCACCTTCGACGAACGTCGTCTGTCTCTCCCCCGGGCCACAACGTTCTGGAGAGCAAGGAACATGTGAAATACGAGCACGCCCGCCATGGGAGGAACCTGATGGGAGCTCGAAGTGGCTAAGGAGGTGGTCACGACTTGGTCCAAACAAAAAAATACATGGGTCAAAATTAACTTGCAGCAGAGAGGACCAACACTGACCCCAACTACTAAGTTACAAGTCTCTTCGCGCCCAATCGAAGCCAAACCCCGAAATTACTCACGCAAAGCAGACACTAGAATCTTCCAAATCTACAAATGATAAATTACATGTATCCAACGTTTGGCGTACAAAAGATTGATCGAGTTGCCACATACTGCAAACATACGAAGAAACGATACGATTTCCTCTGTGTAGCCAAAACCAGATCCCAAACATGAAAACATAAAACATCGTACGTCTGTCACTCAGGAAATCGTTGCTAATATGGCGCCAGGAGGCACCGCTGATCAAGCCGCCTACAACGAACGCCCAACGGTCCCATGCCGTTTTGTTCACAAGCAACACTGCTCAGAAAGCAACCAAACTAAATCGCACACGCTCAAGACCCTTAAATCTAAACACACACGCATTGACTGGAAAAAATCATCTCCCTCACTTGCTGTACATTATGCAGGCCTCGGGTTCACTCACCGAGGAAAACAAAAAAGGTCAAAAACACCCAACACTCCTTACGTTCCTATTTGAGAAAATCGGCGGCGCAACGTGTGACGCTTCACAAACGAAGAGCCAAACTCAAGGCCTGAACAAGCTTCAGACCGACCTTGCTCACGACGGAAGCTAGGTAAACACCACGTTGGCCACCCCGCTCAAACACCCAAATCCGCGCTCTGACCGAAAGTCGAGGCGGTAACGTACAGGTAGTAACCGCAGCTCTTCCGCCCAAACTAATAGCAGCACCTTCGTCAGCAATATTACTGAACTGACTCCACACACACGTCCTCAATTGCCACCGACAAGCCACTCGTGTTCCAACTGTGCTGTTTGATCAGTTTAATGACCACGTTGGCTGAAAAGTGATGCGGCGTGATCACCAAAAATGTGGCCACAGAATTGTCCAGGAATGTTACTTTTTGAGGCAGGCGGCCACCGTGCCCTTTCTCCGAGACCAGGGCCCGACCCCACCCGTCGCTAACCGAAAACGCAGGGTCCCGCGCCACCCGTCGCTGTAAGGCTCGTCAAACGTCACGGCACAGAGTTAGCTGGCCCCTGTTCCTGAATTTGTTAGCAAGAGGGCTTCCCGGTAGTCTTGATCCAACGGCGCCGCCAGGTAGATCGAGGAGTCAAACTTTGTTGCGTACTTTCCTCCGATTCCCTGCAGAGCGGGGGGGGGGGGGTAGTCATGTTTAGCACGCCCTAGCGGTTAGACCATTGACCACGAGAGCGCGGAGCATTGTCCCCACAGGACCGATCACCGATGGCCAATCGGCCCTTCTACCTTGCCACAAGTGGCTCCTGCAAAAGGGGGTCAAAGGCCTCTTAGTGGCGGGATGTAATCGTACGTCTGAGGATGTGGGCAGCGAAACGAGTATGCAGCAGTAGGCGGTAACGCGAAAACCATGAGGCAAGGAAGGTGGGCCAGGAGAGGAGAGGGACGAGAGAGGTGCTTGTTGCTCTCGTATCGGCATCTGAGCAGTGCATCCTCGGGACAGACCAGGAAGACCAGATCGCTCGCGGAAAACAACCCAAGCAAACCAAGAACAAATTTCAGAACCAACCACACCATTTTCCTCTCGCTAATTCGTCAGTGCATGCATCTACTTTGGAGGCGATACAGAATAACAGATGGCTGCCAAATCACCTCCTCGAGCACATCCATGTCAAAGTTCTTGGCGAGGACCTCTTGCGCGGCCGGCGATGTCGCGCTGCCCGGAACAAAGGTAAACTTCTCCTTGGTGTCCTTGTCGATAAACGGGTAGATCACCTAAACAAGCCGCGGAAAAAAACAACGCGTCGTGACGCATGCGAGCGGGCCCAAAGAGCAAGGACCGCCTTCGCGCAATTAATAATTGAATGAGGGAATAGTACAGGGAGGGGGGACGCAGACAATATTCTATAACCCTACCCCTACCCCTAACCTAACTTCCCCGATTGCATGCTTTATCCACCATGTTTGCTTAAGACGAAAAACCTGCGAAGGCCACTCAAGAGCAATAGGGTACAAGATACCTTGCATCGCCGATCATAACGCGTGTCGCTTAAGTAGCGTGTGCACCGTCTATTCTTTGTTAGTACCGGCCATCGGAAGGCGGGGAGCTCGTGGGTTTTTCGCCGTGCTTCGCCCGGGTCATTCGGACCCGAAGCGGAAATCAAACATGCGCTGGCTATGGAATCTAATGGTTTGATGCCGGCTTCAATAGCCGAGGAAAATACAAGGAAGATAGGCTACTATAGGAGGTTTAACGTCGCATACAACGGCGGCTGACTAATAGTCTAGTGGTTTGATTTCGGCTTCAATAGCCGAGAAAAAGGCAGCCGGAGGTTTAACGGAAAAGTTACAACAATAGCGGCTTTCCAAAACTAACTACAGGATACAGAGCTTCCTCGCCTTCCAGAAGCCCTTGAAGACGACGGGCGGCGAGATGAAGAACGCCTGTCCGAGCGTCTCCGGGTAGTGGTTCTGCAGGATGTTGAGGGTCGCCATGCTTGTCTTCATCTTCGGGGCGTTCCGGAGAGTGAAGCCGACGTAGTCGATGATTACGCAGGCCTTGCCCAAACCGTCGGACGTCCTCTGCAAGATAGCCCTCGTGCGTTCCAACTACAGTAGTAGTAGTAGTAGTAGTAGTAGTAGTAGTTGCAGTAGTAGTAGTTGCAGTAGTAGTAGTTGCAGTAGTAGTAGTTGCAGTAGTAGTAGTTGCAGTAGTAGTAGTTGCAGTAGTAGTAGTAGTATTGAGACAAACGAGGTCGTTACGAAGATAGAACCGCAGGGGAAATAGATGGTTAGCGCGCAGGGCTCGGCGTAGTTAGCAGTAGTAGTGGAAGTAGTAATACGAAGAGAACCGCGGTCGTAATGGAGAATGAAAGGCAGGGGGGAACAGCTGGGTAATGCGCAGGGCTTGCATAATGCATGACACAAAAGGACATGGCACAGGATGTGTGTCGTCGCCAAGACTGCCCTCGCGCGTTTCGAGTACAGCAGTCGCAGTAGTACCAAGACAACCGCGGTCGTTATTGTGTAAATACAAAGGCAAGGGAAAAAATATAGTTAATGCGCAGGGCTCGCACTACGCGAGACACAACGGGAATCCCAATCTTGATCGGAGGTGTACGTCGTTGTTCGTACATCCAGCCATGAAATTCTAGCGGTCATCTTCTGCGAGACCATTTCACAACCATAGAGCAGACCCTGGGTCAGGTAGTATGAAGAGTCCAACCGGCAGCGATAGCAGTGGTGGATGAAAACAGCGGCACAAGGCATTGCGTGCAGTGGGCGACTACTATGGCATGCCGGCATCCAACATCTCTGGCGTGGGGTTTTCGCAGACTGCTCAACGAGAGCCAAAACAGACGATCACAGAGGACCAGACGATCACAGAGGATCGGTCATTCTTTGAACTTCTAGTGTCGCTCTTTGGGTACAAAGAGACTTGACGCGTGTACAGCAGTACAGCAGTCCCGTAGGTTGTATGACGGAAGATACCACACCGTCTCGAACGATTTTCAAAGCTCGATTACTCCACGACGAAGAGGATGCCGAAAATAAAGGATGCGTTTGCGGAAAGCTCTCGATGAGACGGTTCCAACGGTGCATTTTTTCAGCACCGTCACTGCTTTTCGTGCCGAATAATCGACCTTTGAACATCGGTCCAGGGGGTGTGATATCTTACGTATGCAACCTACGGTGTACACAGTTCACACGTTCACACACAGAATGGTGCCAACCTTGATTTCTTTTTTTTTTGCTTCACTTCAAATCAGCGCTCACAGCACTAGTGCCATTTCCTACAACCCGTGGCCACACAGAAGGGCCCCCTCTCTACCCTCCCCTCCTGCGGTACGTTGCCTTTGATTTTTCATGCGAGAAAAGTTCAGCACTCACTTCCCTCTGAGTACACACCAACTAACGCTATCCACTAGGCCAGAGCGGAAGCGAGAGAAAAACTCGCTTTGCAAGAAAAGCTCACTTACGCCGATATTCGAACCCCTGACCTGACCTTTACAAGCTTTCGAGGATACCAACTAGACCACAGGGGCGACCGGTTTACGTAGTCATTATGATTTTTTCCGCAAAGTTTTTGCGGTTCCTTTCATCTCCGAGAACGACGTGTGACGTCATACATACCTGGTACACGATGTGCTTGATGTTTCCGTCGTGGTCGGTAGTGTTTTCACATCTTGGTCTCAGCACGAGGATCGGCCGGCCGTGGCTGTCGAAACCGCTCACGTAGTTCTTACCCGTTGAGTTCTCCTTCCTTATCACGTCCATCTCCTTGGAAAAAACCTGGTTCAGCAGTAGTTAGTACACAAAGAGCCAAGGCAAGCGCCCCAGGGGGGAAAGGTGGGCCAACAAAACAAGCTTCTGCGTGACATTGTGTGACTCCGGTTGATACGTCAGGTATATACGCCGATGGGCCTGTAAACTTGCGCCAGAACAGATGGGACGAACGCACAAACACATTCATCCGGAGAATGGCTCGGCCTCCCCCATGCCGCCCCCTCACGGCGTCCCAGTTAATGGCACTTACAAGTGTTTTGTGTTTTCAACCGCACTGAAACTAACGCCTTTTCATTGGTCAGCCGGTTAGCGCGGTCGACGCAAACAATAAAAACGCACACACAGACTGTAGCACAGACATTGGGTGTACAACAGGAGTACCGTTAGCGCGAAAAACTTAGGAGTCGAAAAATGGAGCGTCGAAAGAACTTGAACAACATTTGTGAGCTCGGTTAAGGACCCCTACACTAAAAACTATATATTCTAGCGGCCATTCATGGCCTTACCCTTAGGAACTACAGAAAGAACAACCGCCTCGGTCAAAACTAGCGGGCGATTACTGCATACTTCACTGACGAACTGTCTTGTGGTGTGGCAACGAGCGTTCGTTTGCGTTGGCCTGAGACTGAGTCGACACATGTTCGCGCGCACCGCCTATCGAAGCAGGGCAAACGCATCAATCGAGGAGCAACAGCCTGGCACTATGTACGATTTCGTGATTTCGTCCGCGATGACCATGAAAATAAAGTGCCAAGAATGTTAGAGAACTTTCTGGTGCTGAAAAATGAAGGGCTTCGATGCCATTTCCCCGCAACCTCTGGTCCGGATGCGATTTACTTTGTAACCGTTCTGTGACACTTCCTAAACCCTACAGTATCTGCAGAGCTCTTGGACAAGTCCGAAACCCTACCGGAACCTTTGAACAGACCCTGGTCACCTGTGTTGCCCCCTATTGGAAAAACGCGATACTTGTTTTTACATACCATGCGAATACGCGCAAAATAGGTCTTGGCACGGACGCCCCCTGAAGCGATTTCCATATGCGGAGGAAACACATGGTTCTCTCAAGCGCTCCAGACATGGGGCACCATATGTACGCTCCTTGGGCACCAAGCTGTGTACTCGCCAAGTGCTGGCTGATGTGGGTCGCATTACGAGGGTTGTCTGTTGGCAAAAACTTCGGTCAGGTGGAAACACCATCCGGCATTTTACGATACGCTCGTCGGAGGTAGACGCATTTGCGATCTGTCGCAAGCGTGTACATATGAGCGGTTTTGGGCTTATTCTAATTGAAGTACTTGCGCTCAAAGTGAATCTGGATCGATTTATAGACGACTTTTTTCAGGGCGACCATGACCGTCATACGTAGTGTGCTGGGTGCAACGTACAGATGGTGTAGAGTGTTGCTGTTGTGCTGCTGGATCTAAGGTGGGGTGTGTGTGTGTGGAAAATTAATACCATGGTTCGGGTGCTTAACAAAGCGGAGAAATTTCATTTCCCGCCTGCGGCCTGCGGGGAAGAAAGCGGGTAATTTACTTGTAGGCTCCCGCCGCTATTGGGCGAGCCGTGGTTGTCTTCTAAGCGACTCAATCAAACACATCGTAACGTTCTAGGCGAAGGAGCTCAACTTTGGCGGTGTTTCGCGATGGCCTACGGATCAAACACCTACAATACGGGTACATAGAATACTAAGGAGAAGCTGGATTTGAGCGGCATCGGCACGGTATGTTGTAAGATACCACACCCCCTGGGTCGGTTTCAAAGCTTGATTGCTTTTGAGCAGCAAAAAATGTGGCGGTGCCGAACACGACGGCGTTGGAACCGTCTCCGTCGAGAGCTTCCCGGACATATATCACTTGGCGTCGGCATCCTCTTCGTCGTGGAGGAGCAATCGGCACAGGGCGTGGCGGAAGCTCACGCAACCTACATGTACAGCGGTGTAGCGGGAGCAGTTGGACATATGTACATGCAACTGCCGTTCATCGATGACATCAGCACAGCACCAGTAGCAGTTACACAGCCCTACACACCCAACGCATTGCGCAATGTTGCACCATCAAGCCTTGCCTCGGGGAAACCGAACTCGCGCCTCCACTCCAACGTAGCTGTCAGCATCGCTGCCGCCTTCTCGATGCTCCCTTCCCTTGCGCGGAGGTACCTCACCAACACGGCATCATCTAGTGGCAGCCCATAAGACTCGGTCCCGCTGGGGAAGTGAGCCTCGCGGACCTGACTGATCAAGCTCGCTTCCTCATCTGTGATGGCCCCTGGAGACATGCTTTCCTAATCTAGTGCGTGTACAGCACAGCTGCAGCAGTCAGTGTCTCAAGAACAAATCTGTCCGGGCACAGCAAGGCTTGCATGCCTGGTGCCTGGTGGCGCTGGTGTGCTCAACTGTCATCCCTCGCCCCCCCCCCGTCCTCTTGACGATTCTCATCCAGCGTGCCTCTCTTGAGAGCGGCGAGATGCGGCCACACACACCCCGCACACACGGCAGTAGTCTGTACACAGCAGCAACAGCAGACTCATGGCGGAGGAGGGCCTAAGCGTGGAGCACACACACTGCGTAGTGTGTGTCGAAGAGATCGATGGCAAGGAGCGCCTGCATGCCTTCGGGCCGTGCAATCACTTGGGCGTGTGCAGGTATTGATTTTGATTACTTCAGCAGCAGCTCGCTGCCTGGCTGCTACATCATCAATTAGCACTGCATATGACACGTGCGTCGTGTTGCGACGTGCTGAGGAATGCGGTACCGAGTCAGTGCAAGGTGTTATTTACGGAGGTGTCTAGCTAGATTGAATTATGTACGCCACAAGAGATACATGGACAACGGTTCATGCGGCGTAGACTACTGCTGTAATGTACAGTCGGAAGAAACGAATGTCCGCCTTGCGCCATCCCGTGGACCGTTCCCGGCGTTACTCCCCACACCTGACAACCTTGACACACTTGCACTTAATCACGCCAATCACACATCTCTCCCTTCCGACATCATCACGCGTCAACCGGGGTCGCCTTTTCTCTGACGCCCTGTGTAAGCTGCGTATTTTCCACCCCCGAAACATGTCACAATCGACGGAATCGGGTTGTGGTTCCCCCCCGTCCGTTTTTGCCAGGCGATGTGCGTGACTCCCTGAATGAAATCGAATCTCAACTTACCCTCCTGAGGATGTGCTCATACTTGTAACTTATTTGAGGCCTTTAGGGGGGTGCCTTCGCGAGAAAATTAAAGGTTATTGAGGAAATAGAACGGGGAGGGGCTACGCAGACCCTACCCCTAAAACCCTAACCTGACTTGCCCGACTGCATGCGTTATCCGCCATAATGTAGTGGACAGCGCTAGTTCGTGTGTACACAGAGGGAAGAGAGTGCTGAACTCTTCTCGCATTAAAAATCGAAGGCAAAGTACCGCAGGAGGGTAGAGGGTAGAGAGGGGCGCTTCTGTGTGACCACGGGTTGGAGTAAACGGCACTACTAGTGCTGTGAGCGCTGATTAGAAGTGAAGACAAAAAAAAAAAAAAAATGCTGCGATGGCCTCGAAGGCTACGGGGGGGGCTTTAGGGTGTGGTGCACCCACTTGCCTTTGTATCTCGCAAGGAGCCATATGTATGTTGAACTCTTTCGTCTTGTCAAACATTCGACGCAACCGATTATCATGTTTTCATTGGCCGGTATGATATAAACCATGGAACCAACCGCGAGGCGTGTGGTATGGGGAGCAACGCCATCCATCGATACCTGTACAGAATACATTGGCCGCACCGCATTCTTCTCTCGCTTTCCGCATCGGGGGACTGATCCCGTGGTTTGGACCGCGTTTAGGTGCCGCTTCGACTGGCACAGCAGTTTCAAACGCCTTCCGATACTGGAGTCCTCTCTCATGTCGCTGTCACGCACCACGGCCACAGCCGTCAGTGCCCAAAGTGTTTTTTGCAACAGCGAGTGCTTGTTTTGTTCAACCACTTGAGGTTTGTGTCTTGCCTGTCGTCCGCGGTACTGTTGTACTCGGATAAGAAAACAAACCTAGGTTATGAGAAAGACAGCTCCCGTAAAGCAACCCGCAGTGACGCTACCTCGTTCCTCTCCCGAGAGGAGACGGACCACAGAAACCATGGACGTGAGATTGAACACTCTCATCATTTGCAGTGGAATACTCTACCATGGAAGTCAGATGGAAAAAGTACCATAGAAGCCAGATGGAAGGCTCTACCGTGGAAGTCAGGCGGAACACTATATACCATGGAAGTCACATGGAAAACTTCAAAATGGAAGTCAAACGGAACACGCTACCATGGACGTCACATGGAAAGCTTAAATGGAACACGCTACCATCTCCGGTCCCACGTGCGTCGCGCCTTTTCTCGCCTGCTCGTGATTTCCGTTCGGCAGCCTGTGTTACCTGCGTCTGAGGAAGCTCATGAAGGAGGACACGTGCGTGCTGTGCAAGACGGTAATGGACAGGGTCATCGTTTGCGAGACGGAAAACATCAGGTGCGATCCGCGTGTGCCGTAAACCCGTTGCGACCGTTGGCGACGCTGGCGGTTTTTTCTCCATCCGTAAGGAAGTGCGAGTTTTTGCCAAAACGGCGGTGCGGGGGTGCATGCATTCCGGTCCACGTGCACGGTGCCCTGTTGCCAATACTTCCGAGGTGTTCCAGCAGGAGGGTGCACCCCACACGCAACCCTGCTGAGCGCACCCAAGTGCACGTGTGTCACTACACACCGCTGCTGAGGGCATCGGCCCGACGTCGACGATTGAAGCCCTCCACACAGCCTCTGGGTTATAAGAGATGGGCTGTGATGGCGGGAAGTGATATCGACAGGACAGGGGAAAGCATTTCTGAGACACTTTTTTGCGAAGTAGGAAGGGACGATTGGCTATCATCGGTGCTCGGTCCTGTGGGAACAATACTTCGTCGTCGTCTCGAGGACGCGCGGTCAAAGGTGTAAGAACCAAGGCGTGCAGAACATGAGGAAGCACCCCCCTCTCTTCAAGCCAGCTTTGGTTGAGAGGTAGCAATAAGGAGGGTTTTTGTGCTGGCACTGAGAGGCGTTTCTGCCTGCGCCAGGAGCACCCCCCCTCCCTCGCCCCCTCACCAGCGCTTGCTTGGTGATGTGCTAGTTTGGTCTGGTGAATACCCGGCGACCTTCGTCCCGGCTTTGTAGGGATGCGAGGTCAATGGTATAACGATATCTACGACATGCACGGCTATGAGTACACCCAAGCCTCTCTCTATCCAGCTTTTGTTTAGAGGTAGCAGGAGGAAGGGGTTTCGACTGGCACTTGAAGGCGTTTCTGCCCCCCGCCAGGACAACTACCCCCCCCAACCACCCGCGCTTTGTGCCGTTCCATATTTTTCGCGTTCTTCCGTTTTAGGCCTTTTGAGGAGTTCCAGATTTGGGGAGATAACGCCGGGCCGGAGTACGACTGGGACGACAAGTCTCGAATTTTCCTCCCTAAGGCATACAACAAAAAATTCGTCAGGCCTCTACAGGTATACTATGATATCACCCTGCTGCCGTCATCAAATCGGTTGCTGTAATGATAAGACGTTTTTTATCTGTGTACAGGTTGTGGCGGTCATGCAGCTGCCGTGATGGGGGCGTTTTCTATTGCGGCCTTCGTAACGCCTCTACAGGTATTTCATTATATCGCCCTGCTACCGTCACCATGCTGTTGCTGTAATGATGGGGACGTTTTTGATCCATGTACAGTCTGTGGCGGTCATGCAGCTGCCGTGATGGGGCGTTCGGCCAGTCTTGGAACTTTTGTCTTATTCCATACCACCCTACGTAGTCTGCTCGGTCTGTTTACCAGCGCCAGCATGGTATATCTGGCATGCTGGTCTCCAAGGCGAAACTCGCCCCAAGGTTCCGCACACAAAAACAGGGCGGGGGATTGCAAAGCGTGGCAGAGTAATCGCGTCATCGGGGTCCGCAGCAACAGCACGTTTCAAGCGTAACCACTAATTACCACCAAGGCATCGGGAGTTAATCAAGTCACCTGGAAACCTGCATGGTTCGGTTCCAGTCGGTCAACCCTACGAGCCTGCTTACCCAGTACAGCCGCACTGAGTTGCGTGTGGTACCCACCAAGCCTTGCTCTTGGACTGGGGCCACAAGCCAGGTAGTCTCGCCGCGTGTTTTTCAACCCACGAACACCTGCAGAGGGATTTTGTCTTAGGATTTTCCTACCTTGCGCTGCGCGCCCAGGAACACCGGTGTGGAGTGGAGAACTGCCCCCAGCCCAAGTGCAACAACGTGTTTGCCCTCGAGAAGCACCTTCGGGAGAAGCACAAGTTAAATCTCTGCAAGGTGCGGTCGGGACCGGAGGCCGGGGTCGGAGATCGGTATCGGAGATCCGTATCGGAGATCCGTATCGGATATTGATATTGGAGATCGGTGTGGGGCGCCGGAGTCGTAAATTGGTGCCGGAGGCTGCTGTCGGAGATCGAAACCGGAGATTGAGACCGGGGTCGGAGATTGGTATCGTTGATTGGTATCGGACGCCGGAGTCGGAGATTGGTTGGCGTCGGAGGTCGCGGTCGGAGATTTATACCAGAGATGGGGTCAGGGTCGGAGATCGGGGTCGGAGCTTGGTATCGGAGATCAGTATGGGACGCCGAAGTCGTAGATTGGTTGGCGTCGGAGGCCGCGGTCGGAGATCGATACCGGAGATGGGTATCGGTGATTGGCCCTTGTTTCGACTTTCCCTCATTCCATGGGTCTTGATGGCGCTCTCCCCCCTCACACATCACCGTGTTCGAGTGTTACAATGTTGTCATTTTCTTGCTATTCCGCTGTCCTTTCGCGAAATATTCGCCGGCGGCGACTCCTGTAGCTACAATACATTTTGTTGTTCTTGGCAGAGGTGCAGCCTCGTGCTCCTTTCCTCCGCATGTGCACAAGTCTCCAAGTTCTTTCAGCAAGAACTACCGATGTCTCTCTCACACACTCTCTGTTTGTATCTCTGTTTGTCTGTCTGGGTCTGTGTCTGTTTCTCTCTCACACACACACTCTCTCTATTTGTATCTCTGTCTGTCTGTCTGTCTGTCTGTCTGTCTGTCTGTCTGTCTGTCTGTCTGTCTGTCTGTCTGTCTGTCTGTCTGTCTGTCTCTCCCAATGTCTGTCTCTCTGTCTCTATTGTGTGGGTGATTGATTGATTGGACAGATCTGCCTCAAGAACCGTAAGGTGTTTATCATGGAGCAGGTCCGGTACACCAACCTCGAGCTGCAGCAGCACATCGTGTCGGTAAGCGGCTCACACTCGGCGAACGACCAAACCGAGCGCGTCCTAGCAACAGGCTGCGTTTGGCGTTTTTTTTCTCTTGTGGAATGTCAACGGGCGTTGTGTTGATGCGCCTCTCAGTACTAGGCTGCTGACACGGCAACCCGGGTGGTAGCAATGGCAACCCGCGGGTGGCAGCAATGAATGCTTGATGACGGCGGCCTAGAAACCGGACGAACTTTGCCCCCCCCCCCTCGTGTGTCGTTCATGTCTCCATTGTCCTTGCCTTCCCCCTCGTTGGTCCCTCATGATCAAGAATGTATGTATGTAGGAGGATCAAACAGTTTCGGACTCTCGTTTCAATACCGGCTAGCACGGCTCCAGCAGCTTTGCCTCCAGAAAGACAGTGACACTGCTGTTCGCAAGCGGAAGGCCAGTGGCGACGGTGGCGTTGATTGAGGCTCGGAATTGTACGCACTCCGTGGGGGGGGGGGGGTGTTCTCGCTGTTTTCTGCTGCATTTTTTGGCTATTTTAGGTGGTGTTGACGGGAATTGTACACGTGCGGATGTGTTTGTGTTTTTGTTATGAGCATCGACCGCGCTAGCCGACTGACCAATGAAAAGACGTCAGTCTCAGTGCGGGTGAAAAAAAGTTACACTTCTAATTGCCATTTTTGGATGTGTGTGTGTGTGTTGTCGCTGTGTTTTCCTTGACCCGCCTTGTAGGGGGACCCGCAGCTGGGACAGTCGGGACACCCCCGGTGTGAGTTCTGCAAGACTCGCTTCTACGACGCGGCGCAACTCCACGACCACCTGGTGAAGGACCACTACTCGTGCCACATCTGCGAGAAGCAAGGCATCCTGCACAAGTACTACAGGGACTACACGGACCTCGAGCGGCATTTTCGTTCGGAGCATTTCTTGTGCGAAGAGGTGCGCGCTGAGCGTTGCTTGTGCGACCCACCGTAAACGACACAAGATAACACACCCCCTGGACCGATTTTCAAAGCTCGATTACTCCGCGACTAAGAGGATGCATACACGAAAAGATACGTTATCGGAGAGCTCTCCCTCGACCAGACGGCTTCAACGCCGCCGTTTTCGGCACCCCTGCTCTTTCTGCTGTTGAAAAATCCAGCTCTGAAAATCGGTCCCGGGTGTGTGTTATCTGTGTCGTAACGGTAGTTGTTGGTATTGCAACGAATGGGTATGTATTGACAGAGGTTTTATACTAAAAGGGTTTGCGTTGATAAGAGTAAGTGCTTCCCGGCGAGAGTGGATAGGGAGATCCAGAGGAGGAGGATACGTGAGGGATAGAAACAGAACGGGGAGAGGCAGGGACAGAGGGATAAGAGATAAGATGCACACAGAGAAAGAGAGAGTGGGGGAGAGACAGTACGCGCAGAGGCGGAGATACGGAGCCAGCTGGGTACGAAGAGAGAGACAGGGGAGCAAGACAGAGACAGAGAAATAGAGATAGAACCAGCGAGCCAGCGAGAGAGAGAGAGAGAGAGAGAGAGAGAGAGAGAGAGAGAGAGAGAGAGATGTATATCACGTCACGTACCCAGTAGACTCGATAGGGTTGCACGATCAACTTCTCGCACATGTTCGCACACCGCACACCTCAGGTATATCACGTCACGTACCCAGTAGACTCGATAGGGTTGCACGATCAACTTCTCGCACATGTTCGCACACCGCACACCTCAGCTCCTATTCTTCGTTTTTGTCTCTGTTTTGTATTCTTAACAGGAAGAATGCTTGCAGAAGAAGTTTGTTGTGTTCGACAGCGAGATCGACCTCGCCGCCCACACCCTTCAGATGCACCCCCACAAGCCGATCAAACGCCAGATACAGGTGAGTCGGCCTCCGTTTGGCTCTCCAGTAACTCTTCCCGTTATTCTATCCTGCTCAAGGGCATATGATAGCCGCGCCCACGATGCCGTGTCGCACCATGAAGTAGCGTTGTATCTTGTACGCTCGAGCGGGGACCTTTTGAGCCTAGTATTTAGCGAAGGTATGATAGCTTGGTCCATGCGATACATATGCCTGTGGGCTCTTCAATATCCCAGGAAGGCGAATTCGCCGGTGGTCTCGTCTACAGCCCAAGAATTGTGGTGTTAAGGTTCTGCTTCATGTTCTTGGTAGGCGATACCTGTATCTACACCGCCCACGCTCTCCTTCGAAATCGCTTCGCCAATTCCCCCCCAACTTTGAAAAAAGCGCCCCATTCAACAGGGCTCCTTATCCCCGTTGCTGCTTTTTTGGCAGGTGAACTTCAAGGTGAAGAGGTCTAACTGGGATGGCACCGGGGACGAAGAGAAGGATGCCGAGGAGAAGAAGCAGGACGAGGAGGTAGTACAAAAGTTGACGTTTCGCCGCGGACCGTAGTAGCAATACAGGTTAATAGGTTCACTTTTTTCTGATGTGCGACGTGCGCCCTCCATCTCAAGCTCAGGAGCACTGCCTTTCGACCTACTATCGCCAGCCGAACGAAGGCAGTTGCTACAGGTGCTGCCTGAAGCTCACCAAGCGCCTTTTTTTTGTTGTAAGATTTCATTCGGAGGCGCGCCCCGACGCGTGACTTTGAGAACCCTTGCGCGGTTCAATTTACGAACATTTTACTCCTGCATTAAATTCATTTCATTGCACCTTGTTCTCGTGACCCAATTCGCGTGTCCGGAAGGTGCACGAGTGGACCTATGAGGGAGAGATCGGGGACCAGACGCAGCCCCCAGAGGTCCTAGCGGCGAGGCGCGAAGCTGCCCGCCGGGCCGCCCGCGACGGCGGGATGATCGGCCTTCCCGCCCCCGCCCCCGCCCCCGCCGCGGCTGCCGATAACTTCCCGACCCTCTCCGGCGGCGGCGGCGGCGGGGGCGGCGGCGGCGGCAGAGGGGGGGGAGGGTCTAGGTCGGGTTGGGCCGGCCTTGCGAGCTCAACACGCCCGCGCGCGGAAGACTTTCCCGCACTGGGGGGTAGGGGGGGTAGAGGTGGTGGTGGCGGGTCGACGTTTAGGTCGGCCGTAGAGGCGTATCCTACCAGGGCGCAGGAGATTGCCATGTCGGGGGCGGGGGAAGGTGGTTGGTGCTTCGACTACCCCATGCCTCCCTCGGAGCCGACGGGAGGAGGAGGCGGCGGGGGAAGGGGGCGAGTTGCCGGGATCGGGAACATGAAGCTAAAGGTGGACAAGAAGGCGGCGAAGAGGAGCAAGCAGAAGGCCGCCGCAGCTGCCGCCGCCGCCGCCGCCGCCGCTGCAGGCAAGCAGCAGACGGCGTCAAAGCAGCAGGCGAGAGGTACCTCACCCCCCCCGGTTTCGTCTGCCTCCCACCACCCAGCTCGATCACCGTCACCCCCTCCTCCTCCTCCTCCTGCTGAGGCAGAAGCGGTAGTAGTCGAGGACTTCCCGCTAGCGCCTGGAATGAGAGCACCACCTCCTTCAGCCCAGGCCGGCCCTATCGCCGCCGCCAACTCCAGCGGTCCAACCCTAGCGCAGTCTATCGCCGCACGGCAACAACCGCAGCCACAGCAGGAGCAACTTGGAGGAGGGGGAGGGCCGCCTTCGGTAGTGATGGAGCTCAAGGAGTTGCTCGGCGAGGAGGTGTTTGCGGAGGTGAAGGAAATCTCGGCGTCCTACCGGTCGGGGTGGATGATGCCTGGGGAGTACTTCAAGGCCATGGAGGAGCGGCTGCCGGAAGAGCGGTTCGGGTAGGTTCCGGCGCGGCAGTTTAGTTGGCAGGGCAGCGGCTTTACTGTTGACGATTCGGTTTCGGTTGGTCAACCTGTTTTTGCTTCACGTTTGGTTGCCAAGACAAGCAACATCAGCGTTTTTTTGGAGGAGCTTTCACAGGCACAGCAATGTTTCGTTGGCAGGCCTTGGCCTTCCTTCCCCCTGCGCGACGAATATTTTCCAAGTTGCATCGCCTTCTCCTCACCATTGTTGACGTTTTTTTATGCTTTTTTTGCTTTCGACTCTTTCTTCTTAGTGATGCCCTCGCTCATCCAGCGTTTCGTGTCTTTTCTGTGACGTATTTTCTCGTCTTGTCTTCAGAGAGCTGTTCGAAGGGCTAATCGGGACTCTGCCGGACCAGGACAAGCGGAGAGAGATGCAGGTCTTGCTCGCGGCAAGCCGGTCCGTCAAGGCCAAGGCCGCGGCAAAGAAGAAGCCCAAGAAGAAACCGCCACCCCCTGCTGCGACCGCCCCAGCCGCCGCACCGCCACCACCACCAACAACGACAAACGGAGGTACCGCTGCCGGGGCGGAGAGCTGGCCGGAGGTCGGTGAAAACTCTTCTTCCGCGGGAGCTGCCGGCGGGAAAGCGAAGACCCGAGGCAAGCAGGCCAAGAGCAACGGTGCAGCTTCGAACGGCAGAGGCAAGGCGGGGGGTGGAGGAGGGGGAGGAGGAGGAAAATCCAAGACGTCGCCGTCGACCGTTGCCGGCGCTAAGACGCCGGGGAGCGCGGCCACCTGGCTCAAGGCCATGGGCACGAAGACGGGGGGGGGTGCGAAGACCGGGGGCACCGGGATTTCCATCGTGCGACCGTCTGCAAGGGCCGGCGGCGGCGGCGGCGGCGGCGGCAGTACCGCTCCCAACGCGAGCTCTACCATTACGGCCGTCGCCGGCGGCTACAGCGGCAGCAGGCTGCAGTGCAACCCCGGCGTAAGGGCGAGGCCGGAGTCTCCGCCCCCCGGCGCGCCGCTTCGGCGGCGGGACGAGGAAGAGCTCGTCGGGGGAATCGGGCAGGCGGGGGCATCCTGGGCTACTCAGGGGGGCTCGGGCTTCAAGGGCGCGAGCAAGGCAACAGCAGCACCTGCGGCCGAAAAAACCAAGATCAGCAGGGATGATTTCCCGGGCCTCCCGGGGGGGGGTGGGGGCGCCGCCGCCTTGAGGGCAAACCGGGCCGACTTCCCGAGTCTCCCCGAGGAAGGGGCGGGCATGCGGGGGCTGGGCGGCACCGCTACCGCTACCGCGTTCAAGGTCAAGCCGAGGGCGAAGGCTCCGCCACCCGCCCCACAACAGAGGCCGCCAACGGGAGACGACTTCCCGGGGTTGCCGATGCCGGCGTCTTCCTCGGTGATGCCTGGGATGGAGAAGGTGGACTGGGGGGGCTCCGCACATAGTGGCGGTTCTCAGAGGGGGGTGGGTGGGGGTGGGGGTGCGGGCGGCGGCGGCGGCAAGGGCACGAAGAAGAAGAACAAGCAGAAGATGGAGAAGGACGCCTTGAAAGGGATGGCGTTTGGATTCCGGTAGTACAGAATGTTTCCGTTTCCCTGCGAAAGGCCGTCTTCATGGTGCTGTCTGACTGGTGGTACGGTAGGGGGGTGCGCTTTTGTGGTGATATCTTACGCTTTCGGGAAGTTTAAGTCCTGTTGCGGTGATCGTACGGCGAAATAGAACGCGTCCAAAAGGTTTGCGTAGATTGTGTCTCGTTACCCGGAAGTGTAAAATGAGGTGAGCCCCCTACCGTAGCATCCCTCGTCTGGGGTCATTTTGAGCAAAGAATGCGCGTCTTTGGTGTGCATGCCTGCGTTGTTGCTGTGCTACCAAAACGCCCTCTATACCCTTACTAGCTGTTTTCGGCACCATAGAAACTAATAGCGACGTGTTGGCGCTTGCAGGGTACATCAAATAGGCGATAGTCGTGTGCGTCGGGTGGTGGTGTTGTGCTGATTTCTTGGTGCGGTCGTTCAATGAGCCCTCGACTGTTTTGACCTTTCAAGTGTTGTTGCGTTCGGAAAAAAGGTCCCGCGTGGGCGAGTGGTGCTGCGTGTTGATCTGTTCTTTCCCAGGTATTCACCCGGGAACGGCTCTTTCTACAGGGAGTTCTCTCTTTGTTTTGTCGTCTGCTCTTTAGGGCGGGGTGCGGGAGAATTTACGTGCGTTGGACGGCAACGTGGACGCCAATGGGTTCGACGTCTATTAGTAGAACTGCCCTTACGGCTAATCTTTCGAACAGTCTAGAGAAAAATAGAGAGTAAATGCCACGCATTTCAGGCAGCAGCATCGGTTACAGAGACTGCCTTTTCTCCGCCCATATAGTCAAGAGTGTTCCTCAGCAGCCTCGAGGACGTTCTGTTGTTACCTATCTTGGTTTCGTTGCTGCATTCCACTTCCCGAGCTGTGCGCGTGGAGCTCGCGAGCGACAGAGAGAGTGAATGCTCTCTGCTGTTCTGTTGGGGTGAGATACCTTTGTACAAACCCTGCTTCGTGATGTACGATGCATAATAGTGCCACAAAAGCTTAGCTCCGGCGAAAGTACATGTATGTATACATACAGCAGTAGACAACAGATGGCTCGCACTTGCGAACGTGGGAGCTAAGAACTTCATGCTCGACATTAAGGTGCCGAAACATCGGAACTTGAGCTTCACTTGTGAGCCTTGTCAAGAACTGCACATGACCGATGTAGACTAGCCCCCAAGAGGAATTTAGAGGCCCAGAGCCTCTGCCAAAACTGGAGGTAGTGCGGGCGCTATCGGTATGACCGTGATTCCTGAGCGCCATGCACCCACATGAAGGGAGCCGCTAGTGGAGGCCGTTGTCCAGAATGCTCGACCCCCCGGTGACATCACTCGAACGGCTCCTCCTCAACACTACACTGCAGCAGAAACATAACATCGCAATTTCACTGTCCACCTCTGCTCCACAGGCCTGTGTTGAGCACTTGTGCCGTTTACTCCAACCCATGGTCACACAGAAGGGTTTGCCTCCACCCACACCCCTGCGGTACTTTGCCTTCGGGTTTTAATGCGAGAAGATACGTAGATCCGATATGTAGATCCTCGAAGATACATACCATGGTATACTTGTAGCGGCTTCGCGTCAATTTCTTGAAAGAAAACGGCAGCAAGCAGCCTCCCAACTTCCACCGATTTCAGCGTAGCGCTCGCCTCAAGCCTGGTTTTCCGGGGAGGTGGCCGATGTATCAGCCTTGCGTTGAGCGTTCCTACGGCTCTAGCAATAGCGAGTGGGCAGAGCACATGGCGAGCGGGTCATCAAATATTTGTGTTCCGCGAGAACTCAGCAAGATCTGACACGAGAATTTACAGTAGATGGGCAAAACTGCTTGCTGTGTGTTGTGCATGGACGTTGATGCCCCGATGATACGCGGGCAGAAGGCATAGTGTGACGTCTGTACCCCGTTCAGCTTTCATGCTGGTTTCGCAAGCCAGGCTCGACACCATGCGCTGTGATCTGTTGATGAAAAAGTGTGGCACCCCGCCGTGCGATTTCGGCCACCTACAAGTCGGTATCGATTGGACATTGTAATGTAGGGCTGACAGTCTCGTGGAAGTTCGACCGCTGTCATCAGCCATTCGTAATCCGTAACCGTCCATTTCGACGTTTCTACAACGGGAACAGGCGTTGCTATGTTGCTACCTACGACTTGCCCGTGCCGTGGACGCACGGTTGGAGAGTTTTCAGTGCCTTCCCCTCCAACGACCAACCGTTGGGGAAAGGGTTGTCGCATCTGCTGCTGTGCGCTCTCTTCTCGAGATTTCGCGCGCTGAACGGCCATGGCGGCGGTGGTGCCAGTTGAAGCCGCGTCTGCGGTCAGTGGATCTACATGTCTGCCGGCGTGTAAAGTAGCTCACATGTTACCGAAACATGTTCGCCAGCACGAAATGCCTATGTATCGAGGTTGTATCGTAGAGTCCGAGAGTAAAGATCAATCGTGAGTATTGTCCCCACACGCTTTTTGCAGCCACGGCTCGCTTGTTCGGTCTTTTGTAGGACCTTTGGTTTCGGGCGTCGTTCGTGCAGGTCTTGAGTTTTCCTACTGCAGATGCTCGCGATACAGACCTCCCACTGCACTTCGTTTGATCTTGCATACCCAGGGCGGTGCGGCTGGTGGTGATGTTCCGACCACTATGGCCACCCTGGTGCCGCAAGACGAGTCCTCACAGGACGCATTGCTCCCCAAGGCTGGTCTCCCTGATGCGAAAGACACCACCGATGCGGAGAGCAAGAAGATGATGGCCAACACAGTCGCCAAACCTGACCCCTCCACCGAGAAAAAAGGCGATAAACCGAAAGAAGAACCTAAGCCTCAGGTTGGTACACACAATGCGCGGCCCGTATGAGTTACGCCCGTCGTTCCAGGGTACTGGTATGGAGCAAATTCGGTGTTGCCCACAGAAAATTTGCTCCGAATAGCATAGAGCTCAGATGCAGGCCTTGCTCTTTCTTCCGTCCTACGTTTCCACGACTCGATGCAATCCCGACAGGTGCCGTTCTCTAAGCTCTTCACCTTCGCAGACCAGAGGGATATGCTTTTCATGTTCATAGGAACGATCGCAGCGTGCGTCCAAGCCTGGTGAGGAATGCACTTGCGGTCTATATAATGCACATTTTTCTTTCGCCTTCACAAGAAATTTTCGAAAGCCCGTCCCGCATCACGGCAACGACACCACCACAAAGAAAAAAAAGTTGCCGAGGATCTCTTTGGGGACCAGGACGCTTGCCTGAGGCGAGCTGCGTTGCTAATGGCTTACAAGTTACAAAAACATTTGTCTAGAGCCTGTTTAATCTCCTGTGCCACTTGAACGGCGCGCTAGCCCCGACGACGATGTTGCACCGGTTGCCGTTCGTCGATGGCCCAAATCGCACGTGCGTGATCGATCGATTCTGGGCAGATTTGGAGGGCAAGCCATGCGTGTGTAACATCGCACATTACGTCGTTCCTCTCTCCCCACTCCTAAGAGGGACATCTCGCGATCCATGGGCTACCTTCGCCAACGCGCTAAGGTTGCCTGAGTTTGTCGCTCTCGCCGCCACCGCCGCCGCTCTCTATTTCCGTCGCTCCCGTAAGCACAATGCCTCTGTTCATGACCACGTTCGGGGATACGCTCGATGGTCTTGGACAGCCGACTGAGGACGGCGAGGTTTCCTCGGTAGCAGAAACCGTCCAGAAGTTCGTTGTCCTCTTCGGCGTGATAGGAGTCCTCTCCGGGGTGTCTGGGTTCGCCATGGTCTCTCTCTGGAGCATTGCTGGAGAGTGCCAGGTGGGTAGACGCGCATGTGTGGGTGTTGCATTGATTTTGGGAAGTGCAGGGACGTGTCTATGTCCCGGCGGGGTAGGGGTTGATGGTCTTGTTTTCAATCTGTCGAACTTAAACCACCCAGGGAGTCAACTTGATGGAAACAAGGAATAGGATTTGTTGTCCGAGCAGGTAGCTCTCTCTCCGAATTTGCACGTCCGCTCTGTAGTCCTTCCAAAGCTTTGGGGCCGGTTGGCTGCCTGTAGGGTTCTCGTCGTAATCTGTTGGACGGGATGGGTTTGAGACTACAGGTATGTAGAAATCACCCACCACATCTGCTGTCGAGGCCTCAACGCATGGCAACATCGTCGTACGTACCTCTTAGGCGTTGCGCATGCGGAGGGAATACGTGAAGTGCATCCTGAAGCAGGACATCGGATGGTTCGATGAGCACCCCGCGGGGCAGCTTCCCACGGCCGTCACCGCCAACATGGCAAAGGTGCAGGACGGCTTGGGCAGGAAGATCGGGGATTCTATCCTCAACGGTCTTGGCGGTAAGTATTGACCGTCCTTGTCATGCTAGCCGCCTACGATCTACAGTAGCGCACGAAACACACTTGGTCGATGTGCCTTGTCAATGGTTCCACACAAGCAGGGCTGTCAGCATCGTGGGTTTTCGTACGGTCTTGCTGAAGGATTTATTGAGATAATATACTGGCGCTGGCGATCCTCTAATTTCGAGCGATGGAGCTAAAAACCTGCCCCTGTACTCCCTTAGGCCAGGCGAAAACACTTAAATCACATTTCTATTTGGTGGGCCGTCCTCAATCGCAGGTATTGCCTTGCTGATCACGGCGATGGTGGTGAACTGGCAACTCGGATTGATTATGTTGGGCTGCGTTCCGTTGATTGGCGTTACCGTGGCCATCGTCACCCAGCTCATGTCAAGCACCACCCAGGTCTCGTGTTCAACGTCGTCGTTGTTGTTGTTGTTGTTGTTGTTGTTGTCGTCGTCGTCCGTTGTTGTTGTTGTTATTGTTTTTGTTGATGTTGTTGCTGTTGTTGTGTTGTGTTGTTGTTGTTGTTGTTGCTGTTGATGTTGTTGCTACTGTTGTTGTTGTCGTCGTTGTCGTTGATGTCACATTCTTGACGCTGAAAAACACTTTTCGGGCCTCGTGTCCCCGACTATACGTTCGTTTCAACGGTATTTCTGGTCTCAGACCTACCTGGAAAAAGCATGAGAACTAACGTCGGCCCTACCGCACATCGTTCCCGTTGTCACTCTTGTTATTATTTTTCCAGGAGGGCAACAGTCACTACTCAAAAGCCGGTGGCGTGGCCACTGAGGTGTGTGCACAAGTCTTTGCTCATACCTTGTTCACCATGAGAGCCATCGAGGCAATAACCAACCACACCCCGACAGTAGCGTTCACACCCCGCCTAAAGCATTCAACTGTGTTTGCCTCTCCGCGACTCAAGAGTCGGCGGTGTGGCTACGAAGCTGTTATCCTGTTCGCTGACCTTGCATGATGACCTTCACCGGCTCCACCTCTCTCTCTATGTTTGTACTAAAAAGGAGATTTGAACATAGAAGCACCTCTCTCGCGCCCGCCCGCAGTGGATTCCGTGTGCATGTTTACCTTGCATGAAAGTAAAGTAATTCCAATGACCAGTAGTAACCACGTACGTTTCCTCGTCCTCCTTGTTCGCGTGGATTTCGCTGGTACCTCGGCTTTCACATCAACTGTTCTGCTCGGTTTGGGGTTCTTGGATACGAGATTCGATCTGGAGAGTACGTGTGTTTGGGGGGTATGCTGTTGGGGGTCCAAGTGCGGGGCCTCTCGAGAGAGAGCACGCACGTGTGCATAAAAATAGTTTTTGTCTGTACTGGTACGTGTGTGCTGTGTGCTGGAAGGAGCACTGCGATGCGGTTATCAAGGTTTACGTCATCAACATCCGTCCTAGGTCAACCTTGTCCCCCGAAACAACACCCAATCTCAGCGGGAAGGCGCGGAGGCCCCCTAACATGCCCCAACGCGTTTGAACATTGCGTATACAGGGTTGACATTGATGTAACAGAAGTGAGCCCGAGCCTGAGTAAATTTGTTTTTTCGAAGGAGCTGTTATTTGTTGCGCTGTTTCTCAAACGTAGCCCTTGGCCCGCTCCAAATAACTGTCATTGATCGTGGAAAGGACTCCCCACCAACGCCGCAGTCGGCAAAGAACAAATACTGTATGATCAGGTTGCTTCTTTGGTGGATCTCGGTTGCTGTTGGTTGTTAGTTCACAACCTCTCGGTGGCGCCCGCCCCGCCCGTATGTGCTGCAGCCCCATTCTCTGTCGGCGCCCAACGCTTCAACATCTGGATTGTTGCTTATGGTGTCACCAGGTTCTCAGTAGCCCATTCTCCATCTATTGCTTCAACATCTTGGTTGGGGTTAGGCTTGTGGTGCCACGAGGTTCATTCGCTGTCGTCGTCTAACGTTTCAACATCTGGGTTCGTGCTTATGGTATCACCAGGTTCTCAGAAGTCCATTCCCTATCTATTGCTGCAATATCTGGGTTCTATTCTGGCTTGTGGTGTCACCAGGTTCAATCTCTGTCGTCGTCTAATGCTTCAACATGCGGGTTGTTGCTTGTGGTGTCACCAGGTCCTCAGTGGCATCCGCACGGTGGCCTCCCTGGGCTCGGAGGAGATCGAGCTCAAGCGCTACTCCACTCACCTGGACGGCGCGTACGCGGCCGGGGTGAAGGAGGGCGTGTCTACGGGCCTCGGCAACGGGGCGTTGTTCATGGCCTTCTACTCGAGCTACGGCCTCGCCTTCTGGTTCGGCACCAAGCAGGCAAGCCTCTTGTCAATGCAGCCCTTTTATGTGGCATTGTTGTTTTCTACATTGTTGTTGTTGTTATTGTTGGCATTTTTGTTGTTGCCGAAAAAAATTGTGTCCTGACTCAATTACACCCTCCGTTCTATCGTGGCACCTCCTCACATTCCGCTCCGATCCTACTCAAGAAAGTCTGCGTTGCTGTTGGTCACAGCGCCGGGAAGACCTGCTCGAGGACATTGGAACGCTCGCCGTCACTCATCTTCTTCCTCGCTTGTTGTTCCCGGCCGATTCTGGTTGTGAACAGGTTGCAGACGGCGGCGGCCGTACAGGCGGCGAAGTCCTCTCGTCGATATTTGCCGTTCTTATGGGGGCGATGATGTTGGGCCAAACCGCTCCGGGTATCACCGCCGTCGGAATCGCTCGCGGAGCCGCCGTGGAGGTGTTCGAGACCTTGGAGCGCACGCCCCCGATCGACTCGTCTTCGAAGGACGGACTCAAGCCGGACAAGGTGGAAGGGAAGGTGGTTTTCCACACGGTGGGCTTCAGCTACGTGAGTGGGCCCCTCCACTGTGTTCGATCCTTCTGGGGGTGCTTTGAATTTGCAGTAGGGCCGCGTGGAAATGCGAAGGTGTGCTGTATCATCTCCCTCTGTGTTGGTGCAATCGCAGGTGCGCTGTAGGACTAGGGTCGTCTCAGCCTTGTTGCCGACTCTAAGTTATATTTCTTCTCTGTCTCTGCGTCGACGGCGGGCGACAGCCGGCTAGGCCGAACGACGTGGTGTACAACTCCCTCAGCCTAGAGGTAGCCGTCGGCAAGACCCTCGCCCTCGTCGGGCCGTCCGGCGGAGGCAAGTCCACCGTAACCAAGCTGCTGCTGCGTTTCTACGACCCCACCTCCGGGAGTGTCAGTCTCGACGGCACGGACATCAAGTCTCTCAACGTCGCCTGGTACAGGCAGCAGGTGCGGCAGCCGCTGTGAGATCATTTTCCTTGACGAATCAGAAGACTGAGACCACCTTCTCTCGTAGGTACATCCTGAGCTCGATGGTAATCGACCTTGTTTCGTGCAATCACCTGCTATCCCGTCAGCACACGTCTCGAACTGGGAACCGTGGCAGGTTTCAGTTCGACGAGGAATCTGGAGCTAGAGCAATCGCTTGGGCTCGTGTAATGAGTGCCCATGGCCCCGCATCCGAGAAGCAAGTTAGATTTTACACTGGCGGCTCATTTCTAAAGTTTGTTGTCCGTGTGTGTTTGTCAGATCGGTTACGTGGGGCAAGAGCCGGTGCTATTCGCCGGAACGATCGGGCTCAACATCGCCAACGGCAAGCACGGGGCCGCCACCCAGGACGAAAGTAAGGAACCGTGTTTGAATGGGTGTGTGATTGTCATTTCATTGCGCATTTTCCCCCAGCGGACCGTCGCTCTAGCGGGTTTATCCAACGCATTTACCCTCTCTTCTGTACGAGGGAGGTGCCATTCGGGGTCAAAAAGAATACTCCATCTGCTTGACATTCTTATACCGTATTTTTTTCCCGATCTGCTTGACATTCATTTTTGCCTCGTAAATACCTGATAGATGAATGGAACTCTGAGATTTTTCGAGCAAGCGCAGTACAGTGCTACCCCAGGATTGCACCCCTCACCTTGGCCATCAAAACACCTCCAGGGCATCCACAGCACGGAAGTGACACATTCCGAACCTTTCGCCTGGTCAACAAGTTGTAACGTTCTTATGCTTACCGAACAGTCTTCGTGGCGTCGTAGGGCGGTTTTATTAATTGGCTTGAAGCTATGGTTTGTTTCGTCCGGTTATTATGGGCTGAAGCACGCCGAAGATAAATCCATCTACAGATCTGACGTCTCTATTGGTATCTATAGCATTAAAGGTGTCTCTCTGTGAAACGTCGGCCGAAGCGATTCGAAGAAGTCAAGAACGTTCTACCACCGTCGGAGGTTTACCTCGAACACTTGACCCTTATCCTATCCATCATGACGTCACCTCGTCTAATCATACCACGTGTCGCTGTCGACTGATCTTTCTGCCCTGCTGTTGTTGGTTCCATCGGAAACCGTCCCGAACTTTGCAGTTGTTGCGGCCGCAAAGGCTGCGAACGCGCACGACTTCATCGAGGTGGGCGCGATTGTTGCTTTTCGCTGTCAGGAGCTACTAGTGCAATTGGGGCATCCTATTGCGAACAACAAGCAATTACGATGCTGCCACCTAGGAAACAGCATTGCTGAGGACAGAAAAAATGCATTCCAGCCGACCTTTCTCAATCAAGTCAACTGCTGTGAGATCCAGTCAAGTCAACTGTGACATCTCGAACAACACGCAGAATATCATCAAGCTTCCTGCATTGGGTACCGTTTGTAACCGAGCGAATGGACGTGCACCACGTACCCATGCATCTGATGTCGCGCGTCCGTGTTCTGCAGAGCTTTCCTGATGGATATAACACTGGGGTGGGCGAGGGAGGGTTCCAGCTCTCCGGAGGCCAGAAGCAGGTATTTGTGGTAGTAGAACGACCGCTTTCCGTCGCGCACCTATCTTTCCGGCATGATTTATGCAGGGAGGCTTAATCGCTTCGTCGGCAGAAGGATGGTCCGTCAGGACATTAAGAAACAGGGAATGAGAAAGATCTCGACCTTCGACAAACTCTGACATGAGCCCTTCAACTACACCTACCAACACAACACACAACCGGACTTCTACCAACACTCTTGTTTCTTAGTGCTGTGCTGGCGACTTTGTCTCGGTCTGTAGAACGCGTGCTTTGGCTCCTTTTAACTGAGATAACCTATTCTTCTTGTTGTGCTGTGAAATTCGTATCCAGCGCATTGCAATTGCCCGTGCGATCATCAAGGACCCGGCCATCTTGCTCCTCGACGAGGCTACGTCCGCGCTCGACTCGGAGAGCGAAAAGGTTAGCTATAATTAGTTGCGTTGATACTGTCGTTAGCTGTTGTTGTTGTTGTTGCTGCTGTTGTTGCTTTCGTGTCGATGTACCGTCAAACGTAAGATGGTAAGGCCACCCTTGTCCAGCCTAACACGCAAGATCGAACGGGTACCGAAAACCGACTTTTTCGAATCCACCAGCTTGTGGAATCGGTTCCCAAGGTAAACAAACTAGCACGGCCAGCTGCCGTCCAAGCTGCAACACAACAGCAGCTACTCGGTTGCCAAGTCTTTCTGATGTCGAACTTACAGTCAACTTTGGACGGAGCACGTGTGGAACCCATGCCCATCCTCAACTCCTTGTACTTTTTCGTCGTCTTTGACTCTTACTCCACGTGTAATAGGTGGTACAAGCCGCCCTGGACCAGCTCCACAAGGACAAGCCGCGCACGACCGTGACCATCGCGCACCGTCTATCCACCATCCAAGGCGCCGACAAGATCGCCGTTATCGACAAGGGCGTCGTCGAGCTGGGAACGCACTCCGAGCTCCTCGCCCTCAACGGCGTCTACCATACGCTCTGCTCCAGCCAGGTGAACTAACTACGGCCGTGGAATATTAACAAACTTGGTGTGTGCCCCTTTCCGTATTGCCGACAGGACTTTGTAGAGTGTAGAAGGGCCATCCTTAACTCACCGTCCTTCGACAGGGCCCAGAAGAGGGAAATAATGCCGTTTGGTGTGGGCCCTGTGTACCCATGCGCCTTAAAGGATACTACTACGTGTCGGACGATTCCAGGAACAGCTTTCCTCTCCACTTTTCAACCTGATGGAATTTCCTCCTACTTGTATGTTTCCTCCAGACCGGCGGCACGACGGAGGGGCTCGCGGGCGGCGACAATGCCATGGAACTCAGAACCTCGAGTAAGTGTACCGCGTCGTGTCGTCGTTGGTGGGTGGCTATGGAGTCTTTAGTAGAAGATCTCTGGTTGGATTGACCTATGTGGCTGCGGGGTGCCTGTGACCATCACTCTCACTTCCCGGCTAAATCGAGTTTCTCTAAATGCCGTCGCGTCGGCGACTATGTAGCAAAAAAAACGTTTCTGACAAAAGCCGCAACATCTCTCGGGAATGAGCGACAGAACGTTCATTTTGCTAGAGAGGCACACCTGCACCTTTTCAACGTTTTGAAAAGCGTTATCAAAGCGTTGACATCCGACGCGCCCTCCAGGGGGTATTGGGTCGCGAGAGCGAGCACGCAACACGGGAAAACTTGGTTGATTTGTGAACTTATCTAACTCGGATATTCACAACGATTGATGCGGTCGGGGTGAGCAGATGAAAACATCGCGAGCGAGTCTGGCGCGGGCGATGTCAAATCAGGGAGCCCCAAGGACGCCACCCCCGGAGGTGCTCCGATGGACGGCTCTTCGGGAGCGGACAAGCAGAAGAGCAAAGAGGAGCAGGAAGAGAAGCTTCCCGCGCCCGCTAGGTGTGTGCGGAAAACTACCTAGCTCACGGCTTCCGCTACTGATTTCCATCGACCCCAATACCACACTACGGGTGTGATTTACGTGTGGTTCTCTGTTTGCTGCCCTTCTTATGTCTCCGCGGCAACATTCTCGCAGTGGTCGAATGTGGGCGCTGAACAAGGGAGACTGGCCGTGGCTGCTCATGGGATTCGTGGGCGCGGTGGTGGCGGGAGGTTGTGCTCCCAGCGAGGGAGTGTTCCTCGCGCAAGGGCAGGTGACACCATTGGGCAAATGGGAAGATTAAGATAACCGATAGATTCTGAAGCTCCGTCGCCTTGTTCGGATACAAGAGTTGCGAAAACAAGAACCTGGAACAGTCAATGGGACATCTTCACGTCGCAGAGGATTTAGATGGAATAAGCGGAGGTGTATTGCCACGTCGTTTGCAGAGGTTGCGATATAACCTGTTCTTGCGGCCTTCTTTGCAGTGGTACAGAGTCTCATGCTCTGGTGCCTCCTCCATCGTTTGTGTATGTCCAGACTGAACTATTGTAAGTAGCCGCGCCCATCGGCCTGGTGGTTCATTTGCATGACCTCCCAATTTTCCGGCTTTTGGAGATGTGAGTGTTAGTCTATGCGCATTCACATGCCCCAAAGCGTCCCTCTCGTATCATGCCCAAACACGGACGGTAAACGGTTGAGTGGCGTGTAAACAACGTTCGACTTCAAGATCGACGAGAAAGAGGAACGAATTAATCCTTCTCGTGCCCAAAGTAGAGGCAAAAACACCGCACAAAGGAGGAGAGAGAAATAAGCTTCTGTGCTGCTTATCCTCCTGTGTAACCCCAGCTGGTGTGTCCAAACGAATGCCGAAACAAAAGTGTAACCATCGACGTCCAGACTAACTAGGATGGCACACACACCAAATATCGCTTGTTGAGGGCAGTTTTGGCTCTTGACCCGCACGTACTTCCCTCTACAACTACCATGACCTCAAGGATAACCGACACCTTTTCCACATAGCGGGTGCTGTACCCATCCAATTGTCCGAAAACAAACGTCTTCCTCATTTCAACTAGAGCAACTTGTACCTGGAAGACACGGAACAAATGCGCAAGATCGGCAACCGTTGGGCACTCGGCTTCGTGGGGCTCGGATTCCTCAACCTAGTGGGAAACATGGCCCTGTCGACTGGATTCACCGTGTCAGGCGAACGATTGACGAGGACTCTGCGATACATGGCGTTCGAGGCTATGGTAAGGCTGACACCTCTCAAGTCATCACTGTTCGGAAGCGTCTAACTATGTAGTGACGGGTGTTCTTGTCATGTGCGCTCCTGGGATACTGTCGATCTGGTACCCAAACCAAGTGCATGTAAGAAGCCTGTGTAAGTTGGGGCATACAGCTCGCACCCCGTGAATGCCGCTGCTCTTGTTTGCTTCGAGGAAGTTAAATACAAGTCAAGTGTAGGTTCAGGGTGCTAAACCCTAAGACGACACAGTCAGTGGACATTGGGGTTAGATCTCGTAGAACCTAGCACAAGACCTTGAGACGGTCTGTAAGGACATCGGCCCGTTAAAACCTACACAAGAATGATCACGGGTTTGATTCTCGACAAGCATGAATCATTGCACTTTTCCGAATCAGATAAACTGGGAATTTGCCATGCACGCAGACCAAGCATCAACCCTCCGCACCACATAAACTGGGAATCGAGTAGAAGACTCACCTTCTTGATGTGCAATTAGCGGCGCATGGCAAGGGGGGGATGCATCGGGAATCGACCACCTCACACTTCTTTCTTCGCTGGGTTGAAGGAGCTACTGTAGTAGTCCCTTGACAATTCTTGGTCGGCGGTGACTGAGAGCGGTCGAAGGGATTAACCCCTTGAAACCGAACGTTGTGTCAGTATCCAGAAAAGGAGTTTCCGAGAGAGAATCACGAGAGCACCGTCGTCGAGCCGGGTTTATCGCTACGAGAGAACTTGAGTGTTGGCACTTCCATCATTCATGCCCAATCTGAAGCCAGTTGTAGGTGCCTTCGAACGAACCATCGTAAAATAGCTTGGGAACATGCATGAGTGGGTCCTACTGGGTAGGATAGAAGGCGTTTACATAAGTTCGTGCTAAACGCTTTCGCAACCCATCACATCCTCGATATTGGTTTTAATTTCAATCGCAACCCATCACAAGAGGTATGATCGGACCAGATTCTCCAATTTCGGAAACACGGTTGATCATGCACTTACGTTTGACGGCTTCCCCCGAACGTCTGCCTTCAATATTCATCCCGCGCATCGTTTCGCTCGGAAAACATGAAACTGTTCCTCACTTTGCGTCTCGTTCGCGATTCCAACCCATAAAAGTGCGGCAAGCGAGGCTAGCGTCCCACCCCCCACGCGATGTTCTCTTTGGCCCTTCCCCTTCGCCCTACCTCCTTTTACTAGGTGCGGCATGACATCGCGTGGTTTGATGAAGAATCGTCTGCAGTTGGTGTCCTTACAACCCGCCTAGAGGCAGAGGCCTCTATGGTGAGCCGTTGCTGTCGTCTTCGTTGCCAATATTGTTGTTGTCGTGTTTGATGCCTTCGCCGTGGTTGTTGTTGTTGTTGTTGTTGGTAGTGGTGGTGGTGGTGGTGGTGGGTATGTTGTTGTGGTTTGCTAATGTTGCCGTTGCTGTCGCGTAGCGTTAACAATTATTCCGGCCGATTCTGCCGAGAAAGTTCTTGCTATCGCCCTGACTGACCGCGTTGAGTACGGGCGTCACTCAATGCAATTTCTCATGGTCGAGAACAGTTGTAGCACAGCCCTTAGATCGATGCTTTGCGGTGGAATACGTGGGGCCATCGGCATTCGAATCTGCTGAGAAAATCTCGGGGCCGACACTGGTGATGTCCTTCCCTTGTATCAAATTTCGAATGTTCGACCAGGTTCGAAAAGCGACTGGAGGAAACGTTGCCCACGCGACCCAGCTGATGATGACCCTTACGGTGGGAACACTCATCGGGCTTGCCTTCGCATGGCAGATCGGTGAGATCTTGAACACCGTGTCATGTCGTTTTTTCGAATAACCACTAGCTTTGATCCTGTACATGGCAGATCGGTAACTCGGTTCGAACAATCGATTTCTTGCGTACTATGAGCTTTGGGAAAGACTGGGCATCCTTACACCACCTTGCCATGCTTTCCTTACAACCTTCACGCAGACCCTGACGGTTGATGGTTGCTATTTCTTTTGCCAGGTTTGCTCGCTATCGCGACAATTCCCCTGATAGCGGTCGCCGGGATCGTTCAGATGGCAATGATGACGGGAGGATACGGGGACAACGACGTGAGGATTCGTTGTTTTGGCGGCAGCGGCAGCACATCGTGATCTTTTGTGCCACACCCCTACCGAGCATTTCGTGTTCCCAATCGAGACACTGTGTCCACACGCTCCGATTGGTGACCAGATATACTTGAGAGGATGCCAAATTGTGCTCACAGTAGACGCAGTAGGGGCAGGGTGGGCCTGGCTGGTCTGTTAGTCGACTGAGCTGACCGGTTATTGGTCCCCGGGTTGTGCTACCGTTTTTTTAGGGTCTCGACGGCGGCGGCAAAGCGGCGGGTCTGCTGAGCTCTGCCCTGCAGGGAATGAGCACCGTGGCCGCGTTCAACATGCAGGAGAGGCTCGCCGCTGAATACAAGCAAGCCTCGGAGGTACTGAAAATTGAGAGCCGTCGGTTCGATAATTCAAGTAATACTAAGTAGTAGCCGGAAACGTCTACTCCCTACTTGTTTGGGGAACATAGCCATTTATGATGAGCTCGCTTCAAGCACAACCGAGGGCAAGGAAGGATACGCAACCCGCCCACCACGCTCACCGTTTGGATTCGCAACCGTACGAGGGGTGACGGCTTGTCCTTTGAAGAATATTGAAACGCCGGTCGTGGAGAGATGTACGCGGTAGTGGGAGCAGCAGCCTGGGCGATGGGCAACACAAAAACGTGTCGAAAATGATTGTACAGTGGTGTAGTCCCGCGGAACGGGTATGGTCTGTATCTGCACAATATTCCCACTCTTCCACCACCTGCTTCGTGTTTTCAGGTGTGGTTCTCTTGCTTCTCTTCCGACCGATCCGAAAGGGCGTGCCCAAGCATACCGTTTGCTGTATGCTAGGACGACTTCACGTACTGCTAACTAACCCGGACGCTTACGCCGTGTGGCTTGCTCTGTCATTGTGATGATGGTCGTGTGTCTTTCTTCGATCATGTTTGGGTTGCCGCTAACCCGGGCGCTTACACTGTGGCTTTCTCTGTTGGTGTTGTTGTTGTTGGTGTGGCGGCGGTGGTGGTGGTTGCGTGCGTGTGTCTCCTTTCGATCATGTTTGGCTTGCTGCCGTCAGGGCTCCCTCGATGCTCGACGGAAGCGCGGCTTGATCGCTGGAGCGGCTTTCGGCTACAGCCAGGGCATCACCTTCTGGGTGTTTGCGCTCATGTTTTACGTCGGGGCGATCATGGTCGACAACGGTCAGGTCGAGTACGGAGATTTTTTCACAGCCATGTTCGCGGTCATCTTCGGAGCCTTCGGGGTAGGACAGGTACGATTGGTGGCCCCGCCCACCTTCTGCCACAGGAGAAATAGTCACACGAGTTTCAGGGTCTGTGAGGCCAACAAGATATCTGCAACTGTCTGATCCTGAGGGTTGCATCTAGACGCCGACCAGCTCCATGTCGTTTTGGTCAAGACTTGTAGTTCTCGAAGTTTGTTCTCTGAATATTCGGCGCAACAAAAACGAGGTTGCCACCTCGTGTAACTCTCGGCGATGTCGATTCGAAGGTGGCCTGTGTCTCTCTCCACGAGTCCGACACAGTATCGACCCGTTGATCATAAAGCTTGATTCAACAAAGTCACGCCGACTGCTACACCGACTCCTTCATTTGAGGCGGGTTGCTCGACGTTCGACCGACGCAACATTGCCAGGCTGACCTTGCTTGGTGTTGGTTCAAGAGTAAGCAGCTACTAGCGCGTTAGCATTGAACTTCAATCACCTCGCGAATAGCTCCACCAGTAAGAATCATGTTCCGTGGTTTACGACACTTATCGCCACGATAGCGCGATGATCGCCATGTTCGGATAGAAACGGTGACGTTCTTGGCATTTTTCTCGAAGCCTACCGACTCGCTTTTTTTTTTGTTACCGGTTCGAGAGCGCTAAGCATCGCTAACCTTTGTCTACAGATAACCGGGGACTTCAAGGACGCTGGGAAAGGCCAACAGGCGGCTGCAAAGATCTTCCGTCTCACAGGTGGTGAAATGTTCTGTGATGTTCTGTTTATGTCCTTCTGCTGTCGCCGCCCGCCGCTCGTGCGACCTACTTTTCCGATTCATCTATTAGCACTGAACAATACCGTCGGATTGATTCTGTTGTGGGTATTTTCACTGCTATCCCTTAGGTCTGTCGACCGGAGCTTGAACTAGAAGTGGTGTACTTGGGGGCTGCTGACACCGCGAAACAATGCTATTATTGTAACTCGCATCAACTTGAAGGATACCCGCGGTCTGAAAGTGTTTTCAGCGCGCTCTCACCGGAAACTTTTGAGTATTATCAATAGCTCTCCCCTTCGAATTCATATTTTTTATTTCCATAGAAGTATCACGCTAGTGATGTAAAAATGGACGGTACCCCCAAACATGGAATCGAAGTGGCAGGTGTTGACGGGGCGATCCTGTACTGCTTCCTAAACTCTTATCCCCATCTGGTTGGAATGTTTTTTTTGTGCGTTCTCGATATCGCACCATCTGAACGATGCATCAGATGAGCCTCTGAACATCGACCCGCTTTCCGAGAAGGGGGCTAGACCCTCAGAAACCAAGGGCGCCCTCGAATTCAAGAACATCTTCTTCAACTACCCTTGCAGGCCCAACATGCAGGTGGGTTGGGGAGTCATGCTACGGTATAGGGGGTCACCTCGCGTTACACTTTCGGGTAGGGAGCGACGTACACTCTACGTATACCTGTTGGCGGCGTCCTATTTCGCCGTACGATAGCCGAAACAGGACTCCACGTTATCTCCCAGAAGTGGAAGATTTCACCCCAAAAGTGCACCCCCCTACCATAGCATCGATTTGGGGTACTTTGCTTGTTGGTTCCTTCTTTTTCGTTCCGTGGCGGTAATCTTTTAAGTACCCGATGTCGTACGAAGTGTCAAGATGCAAAACGTTCACGTTCGAACTTCTCATTATTGTCCACGCACATATTCCCATCTATTGGCCAGTCTGGACTTCGAAAATATCTTCCTGAGCTCTTCTCGGCGATTGCCTGCTTGGTGTTATCTTAGTGAACTACGTCCTGAATGCTTGCACCATAACAAGTCGCTTTCGCAAACGTTTTCCCCAAGTCATAAGGGATTCCTCACATTCTAGGGTTTTCCACCCTGATCGCATTCGGGTCGCCTGGCAAGCCTGAACTTCCATGCATACTCTGCATGGTACTCAGCTACCTTTCCTTCCGGGCGCGCTCGTTGGCTAATACATAGGTCTAGCGTGTCACTGGACTCACCTTCGGCTGTAGGACATAGATAGTGCGGGGGCCGAGAGTGCACGAAAACAAACGTGTGGTGGGCCGAAGATATGCCTGCCTGTTGGGTCGTGCTCTGCAGGCACACTGGTTCTCAATACATTTCGCTCCGTTGTCACGGAATGGTCTCCATTGTGCCACGACGACGCTTTGAACCCCACCCACGTTGAGATCGTTCAAGGCCCTAACACCATCACAATGTTGCTCGGAGTACATTCAGAAGCCAAAACACAGCCACACCGATGAACACTGCAACAAGCCGACGTCTCGCAAATTCCTGCGGTCACCAGATCTACGGATCGGACAAGTACCCCCAAGGGTTCTGCTTGAACGTCGCGGCGGGCGAGACTGTGGCGCTCGTGGGACCCTCCGGAGGGGGAAAGTCCACCTGCATGGGGCTTTTACTCAGGTTTTATGAGCCTTCTAAGGGAAGCGTGACAATCGATGGCCGCGACATCACGGAAGTCAACGTCACGTGGCTCCGCTCGCAGGTGCCGATAGCAGCATGAAATGCCTCACTTGCGTTGTTGGCGTGTAGATCCAAGTACACACTCGAGTTCTGTTGCGGGATGCAACAAATGCGTTGCTTGCCTTCGAATGGTAAAATTGGCGTTGGTGATACTCGATTGCATTCTTGATCGTGGCGCACGTAGATACCACACGATGAATTATATCAGGACGGTATCGGAATGATATCAGAACTTTTCAGGAAGGATGGGATGCCCTGGACAAGAGTATCTCTGGTTGATTCTCGTCACAGCGACATGGAGGAGGTGGACATTGCACGATCTGTGCTTCTCACTCAGGACGCCCCGCTTCTTTTGATAAAACGCGCTGTAAAGTCGACACACTGACATTTATTCAATGGAGCGCTCTTCCCTACCAAGGCGAAATTTGAGCTTGATTCTGTTGAGAGGGTACTTCTATCAGTCCACTTCCTCAGTGCTTACAGTAGTTGTTTCCCCCCGCCGACTGTGCGTTGGAGATACTCTGGTTGCTTCTCTCAACTTCCCGGGATTCCCAGTGCTCGATTGCCGTGAAGCGAAGAATGTCCACTATCGGAGGTTTTGAGTGCTTGAATTTCGCCTCGGTTTCTGTTACAACGCGAACCGCACAAAGATCGGCTACGTCGGTCAGGAGCCGGTGCTGTTCCAGGGAACGATCCGCGAAAATATCGCCAAGGGCGACCCCAGCGCAAGCGATGAGAGAATTCAGGAGGCCGCGAAGGCCGCCAACGCCCACGACTTCATCTTACGCGACTTCCAGGTTAGTCGAAAGACCCAGACCCCGACTTTGCGACGCGAAACGTACTGGATTAGAAAGGAGGGCTGTTAAGCTAACCCTGGAGAAGAGGTTCGGGGCGATCAATCCTGCCGATGAAAAAGTTCCTGCTGTTCTAGACACAAGACAATGCTATGATAGTTGCATATTTTGTCTTACGCAACCACGTTGCCTCGAGCTATCTTCTTTCTTCCTCACCCTGTACGCTTTGAAGTCATCGAGTGTTTGGATGCCCTTGCAAGCGGTCTGTCAACGTGGCGACATCGAAACGAAGAGGAAGTCATAGGTGTTACCAATAACGTGTGCGAGACCGAAGAGGAGAGGAGATTCTCTCAAAACCTAGACTCTTAGTTGGAATATAACGTGCATGAAGGGGTGCTCGCTTGCAGCAGTTCCGCTCCAATCTACCACACTATCTAGTAAACCGTTCAGAGGGATGTCGAAAGTTTGATTCCCTCCATCAAAATACCAAGGTCGGAGGTTAACTTGTCATGCAACGTTTTTTTCTACGACGTTACCTCCAGGGAGGGTATGAGGCTGAAGTGGGAGAGAAGAGCGCTCTTTTGTCCGGCGGCCAGAAGCAAGTGAGAGCATTGAGGGGCAGTTAAGACTTGCGAAATATACGCTGTGTGTTGTATGAAATTCCTAACTCCAGCTAGTTCTACGCACCGCAGCAGTCGCCTTGTTCGTCGGTGGCACTCCTTCAGTGAGCTAAGGCGAGCACTTCAAAACGAAGCACTCCTGTGCATACATGAAGGACCCAAGGTAACCTGCCAATAATTTGAATGGCGAAACACGCTGGCACCTTCACAAAGCGAATGCGCACGAAAGCTTTCCGATGTCATAGACTATGGGTACGTCTACGATTGTTTATTGGAAGGTCGATTATGTTGCCAAGAAACGACTTTGTACATGCATCCTTCGCGATGTCACACGCGCACGAATTTTGGAAGATCGACTGTACGTCCGACTGTCACCAAGTGAACGACTGTACTGTGCTGTGCATACGCGTCCTTGCTGCTCCGTGAACGACGTGCTGACGATTGTGTTGGTTTTCTCGTGTCCAGAGAATCGCCATCGCCAGGGCCATCCTACGGAACCCGCCGATTCTGCTCCTCGACGAGGCTACGTCGGCGCTAGACAACGAAAGCGAGAAAGTGGTAAGCTTGAATCAACCTTCTTTGTCAGCAGCAGCCAAACAAACCGGATTTGGCACTGCTGCCGGCGATACCGGATATCGCATGAAACACGTGTCAGTGTTCTTCCACCATCATCCTCCGAGTTCTACTTATGCCGTGTTGGGAACTTCGATTTTTTTCTCACTTGTGCCTAGGTGCAAGAGGCCCTTGACCAGCTGCAGGCGAAGCAGAAGCGCACGACCCTTACCGTGGCGCACCGCCTGACCACGATTCGCAACTCCGACAAGATCGCCGTGCTCAACGGCGGGGGCGTACAGGAGCTCGGCACACACGACGAGCTGCTGGCCCTCAAGGGCTTGTACTCCACGTAAGTTAGCATTTCATGAAGAGATTGTTGTTGCTGCAGCGGTTGTTGTTGTCGTGGGCGTTTTTCACGTGTACACTCGTTGGCTGTGGCTTATCGGCTACAATCATGCTTAGTGTTGCGGGAACAGCTTCACATGATAACACCCCGAGCATTATTGCCGCAACCTTCCGAACGAGAAACTAACACGTTTTCTGTGCCGGTTTAGCATCCGCTTTCTCTACAGAAGTAACACTCTGTTTCTCCACAGACAGAATCTCATCTTCAAAAAGGTCCCCTGACTCCCTATCCTTACGATACTCGCGGCGAAAAGTTTCTCATTCCCTCTCCGAACCTCCCTGTCCTCCTTGTGATGGTGCCCCTTTCCCCGTTTGTTTGCAAAAACATTTCAATTCGCCACGTTGAATTGCTAGGTTGTGGAACCAGCAGAAGAGTAAGCCGGCCGGCGGTGGAGCATGAGCCACCCGAACATCGACGCGTTTACCAGAAACTCAGGTTGTAGCATAATATAAGCAGACGGGCATGCGGACGGGTGGCGAAGCACGGGCCACCCGGGGTCCACGCAGAAACCGCACTATGCGTATGGTCTCCCTTCGCAACGAAAGCTTGGCGACAAAGAACTCACGATATTGCATTCAGCGGCATCAAATCAAAGAACAATAGCTGTAGGTATGCATACGGCGGAAAATAAGCGTTGTTTGTTGTTGTCGTCGACCGAACATACTTTGTTGTGGAAAGGGAGCACTAGAATAGGCCGATGCACACGTGACCATTGCACCGCCTCCGAGGAGAGTTGGTTCATTTTTCTGGGGTCCTCGAGACGTGAGTCTCATTGGTGCTCTCCTTTGGACACCCCCTCGCTCCTGCCACAAGAGTGTGGTAGATGAGCGCCGCTTTGCATCAAGTCCAAACGTGTGGGGAGCATTTACGTAGAAAAGAACGTAGCACTTGGAAAGTTACGCGGAACAGCTAGTAAGTGTCGGAGCTAGTCCATAGCTGGTTTAGCGAAATAGGTTCGTTTTTCTCCCCTTTTTCTCCCGCCCAGCCGTTCTTTCATGCGGTGCCCACGCCCTCACAAGAAATAATGCCGTAAGAAATCGAGGAGCTCAATATATATTTTTCTTTATTATTATTGTCTGATTGTTGTTTTCGGTGCATATGGAGGGAGTTTCCACACGAACAACATTTACGTTCCACGCGGAACAAGCCTTCGAGGTCTCCGCGGTATGCTAACGTGTCAGTTATACCAAAACACAATACCCCCCTCCTACACGTACTTCCACCAGATAAGTCAGAGTGAAACTGTTGAATTAGCAGTCTCGGACGATTGACCCTCCCAAACGCAAACACCTTAACCAGAAACACTAAATCCGAGGCCCTTTCGATACGTGAAACTATCTGGTTCGTAAAACAAACGTCGTGGTGGTCCAACGTCATAGGACTTGTTCGAAACAACTTGGACCCGCGAAATGGTAGTCTGACGTCATAGAAGTCGTTCAAGCGTTTGCCAAACATGCACTTTTCATGGGCATCGTTATTCGTTGCACTTTTCTGCCCCTTCAGTTTCTGTGCTCCCAGAGCCACTTGCCTCGACGCCAGGGCTCTCAATTTATCTGTTAATCTCTCTGAGTAAGAGGAAAGACTCACCGCAGCCTCATTAAGCCGTTCTGGCAGACCTATACCGAGTTTTGCCGAGAGAAACGACAATACAGCGCGATTGTACGGATGTGTCCCGGCGAAGCCGCCTAGGAAATGTTTTTTTTTTCCCACCACACTTGTAGTTGTCATTGCGAAAAACAAGTACACGAAAGGTACATAGCACCTTTGCCTTCCAATTGTGACACACCCCATATCCGCCTCAAACAAGAAGTGGCCTGAGCAGGCTAGATGTGACAAGGATGGGTTGTGGGAAAAGTTGTGGGGCACCTTTGGCAAAGTAGGAAGGTTTGGTGGTCGGTCCTGTTCGAACAGTTGTCCGTCCTCTCGACGGCGCGTGGTCAATGGTTTAACAGCTAAGGCTCCCATACATGAGTACCCCCCCCCCCTCCCCGTCCCAGACAACCACGAGATATTTCACCCGTGAGAGACATGAACACATCCCATCGCCTGTCTACAATGAAGGTCAAAATTCCTTACCTCGATGCTGCGTATCAAGCACGCAAGGACCACTGTGATTGCACAAACTCGTAAGAAACGAGGTAGCTCACCCTCCACAAAAAAATGCAAAGACTGAACAATGTCCGAAAGAGCTCCATCCAGCTCGGATCGGGACATGCTCCAGTCAGAGAGCACGCAAGAGAGCGAACGGCATACCGAAACCAGCATCAAATAACGTAAACAATACATTGATGTCTACCATGGTACGCCAGACACAACCCCCCGCCAACAACTGCAGGTTCAGCAGAAATCTCACGAACGGTTTTGCTTAAAACAGGGCCCTCGGATGTCGAGTTGGTTCCAAACGTTTTTCTGCCATGAAGACAGGAAGGCTCATCCACAGTACCGTTCTACAACACCGGACATTGAGTGAAACACTCTTATTCCAAAACGGGGAAGATTGTGCGGTTCGACGCAGATCGCAGGCGAAAATTGCCTAACGGTCACGTAAGAGGCGTACAACTGATTCGGCAAAATTGTACAACAATTGAAAAGCAAAACACCACGACCTGGACCCTTACACCTCATTCAAGTGGACATCGCCGCCCACATGTTGCAAATACTCCTACTACGATAGAAAACAGCAAAGAAACGAAAAGTTGTCTCGGTGGCAAGCTTCGGGGCCATTGAATTCTACGCATGGAAGTACCCATCGCTCTAAATTTGTCCGAGAACATCCCAATAACACGCAACACGCGGCCCCGATAACCCGGTCATCTTGGCGATCCATCTAGATCTCGGAACCGCCTCTTTGAAATCCATATCATGGCCACACTTTGGCCACCTATTCGCAGGCCACCTCCATTCCTTAGACCCAACGGTCTACACCGTAATTATCTCGACTTAGGTCATTTTGGCTCGGAATCGCCACTTCGAAATCGATATCATGGCCACATTCACACCTCGACCACCCCAATCTTTAGACCTTATAGTCTAGACCTTGATCACGTCGACTCAGGTCATCTAGGTTCACCCCCGGGCCACCGGGGACCATCGCCCTTCGCAAAAGACGGGTCGTTGAGGTTGGCCCGCGTCAACGTTCGGGGCGGCAGGCCCTTGGACGTCTTTTCCAAAAACAAAAAAACGTGCACAAACCATACGGGAATATTGGTTATCCCATCAACGCGAATGATACAGGCCACCCAGAACGTTTACATCAGAGAGCATCCACCATGTGTTCGTCAGACATCCATGATGTGGTCGTCAGAGACATCCCAATGTGTTCGTTCGAGACGTCGCAACGCAGACAGGACATGTGCAGGATGCAACCGTAACGGTCATCGCATCCGACGGCACGTTTCGGAGCGGCCAGATGTTGTAGACCGTTGGGGTTGAAGGCCGTTTACGACCCCCGAACGGTGGGCCGGGCGCAAGAGACGGGGGGTGGGGGGGGGGCGAACACGGAGAGACGGGACCTCTGTTCAGACAACTAAAAGTGGAACAATGGGTGAAAGGTAGAGTGTTCGGGGTACACTCACAGAGACAACCAAGATCCAAGAATCAAAATTGACGAAATCAACTAAAAAGTAATCGACTCTGTTGGCCGGGATATGAACAACACAATCCTACCCTTGATAAATCAATCAACTGTTCACTACTGAAACAAAGAAATACCGGGTAAAAGTATTCACGAGTCTTCCAACGACGTCTTCTTAAGCGCAGGAAACAAAGCTACCGTATGTATTTTCTTCGCTTACCGGGTTATTCCATGTCAAGAGTTCCGCAAAGGGCATGGCCTTGTGGACGCGGTAGATGGCCTCTGCCAACAGAGGAGCGACGCTGAGCTCTCTGATCTTGGTGCAGCTAGAGCGGTCTTTGATCTCTCCGGTCTCAGTTCTGGGCGGCGGGTGAACCGGTGGGGACGCAGATGGAAGAGGAGGGGGTGAGGTCGGTATGTGCTTCACGACTCATACTTGGGGTTGCCAGTGAGCGTGTCGGGGGTGTTTGGAGTACTTGTAATTCGGTAAACCTGCGCTTGTTGAAAATAGCAGTGCTTTGCCGTAAGGCGTGTGTGCTTGGAAACGCTGAAAGATGAACAAATTTCGTTGCAACACAAGCACGGGTTATGCTGCAGCGGCTTGAACGACGCCCACTGACTGTGTTAGGGAATGCACAAGCCAACAGAGAAGAATCACCCTTTGCAAGGCGCATTTCCCGCACACCTATCAATGGAGCAGAAAACAGAGCCCGAAAAAAATAACTGAACCTTCAATATTGAGCAAACGCAAACTCGGGACACAGACTCTTGATAACGCACTGATGTAGACCGAGATCATGATGGGTGCAGTATGGCTTGACTGTGACCGATGAAAGGGGACGCAGGCCCGAATAAAGCACCAAAACACAAATTGCGATACACTACAAGCAAGACACACACTTTCTCCAACATGAACCGCACCAAGACCGAAAACACCAGAAAAATCAGCCAATTCCTCAACAAACACCTCGTGTGCATATTCATAGTGATGGCTCGTTCGCCGCTCAACCTTCAAGATTCCATGGGAATCACAACCACCAAAATATCGGGCAATCAGATCGCGAGAGGCAAGACGCCAAGGTACCTAAGGACAGGGTGTCGCGTCTGTTTACGTCGATTGGAAAGTCTCGCGGACTGGTGGAATCACACAACAGCTTCTTGTAGCCGCCCTTCACGAGCGCCGCGTACCTATGAGGCAGCGTGTTGCAGATGACAAGGCAATCCAGGCCCGGTATCTCGGCGCACCGCGCCTCTCCCCCGCCGGAGAACCTGCCGTGCGTCGCGAACGCCAGGATTTTCCTAGCTCCGGCCCCCTTCAGCAATCGCACGGCGTTGTCGAGTGTCCCTCCCGTGTCAACCATGTCGTCCACGATTATGCACAACGCCCTGATTTTAGGGAGGGGAGGGGGGGGTGAGTGGAAGCTGGTGTTCGAGACAAAGATGAAACCTACGTTATCAGTTGGCTTGATTAAGCAAGCTCCTATCATTAAAAAGCTTTGAATGAGCATTCGAGGTTCGTAGCAAATAAATAAATTTTAAATATATAGCCAAAAGGAAGATTCACTCACAAAGCTAAAGGACGAAGTCGTTCTTGGAAACATCAAATAGAATTGTAAAAAGGCTAAAATGTTTATTGGAATGTTTGGAACCATTGGAACGCGTCTTAGGTAATGCCGCACTCGGGTTGGAGGGATGGGGGGGGGGGGGGGGGGGGGG